ATCATCGCACATAACATACAGTGTCAACAGAAATAGCGATACTACGGTAAACAAACAAGATCTAGTGGATGTTTGGCTAACTGTCAAAACATTAAAAGAAAGAAAAAATTTGGGAATTGTCGACTGATGCTAGGCTTAAAGTGGCAACTGATTTGTTTATTCTATAGAGATTATTTTTTTTCACCAATCATTTTGATATTTTCATTTGCTCTGGGGTAAGTTCACTCTGAAATCGTTTTTTGCGTCATACAAATTGCTACATATATAAATAAAATTCATTTTAGTCATTCACTGTGAAGAAAAATTCGGAAATGGTGCATCCTGCTGCTTTAGCGATCACATTCGGTGTTGTTCTAGGTAGTGCTATCTTTGCTTTGTTCTTTTACCAAAATACAAGAAACCAAGACAATCGATGGAGATACGAGGAAAGTCCGAGAAGAGATTTACTAGAATTCATGCAACATCAATTTGAAACTGACATCTGTTCAATTTGTTTAGATCGTTTCGATGACGACGATGTATTTTTAGAATGTTGCCATCGTTTTCATCGGCGATGCATTGCAATGGCGGATTTCATGGCATTTAATCGAGGATGAAATTAATGAAAATTACGCTAAATTAGTTTTTCTGGCTGCTTTTGCATTCGGCATTCATGTACGTAAATGCAATAGTTGAATATTTCTGATTAGATTTTCACAATTTGAAATTGTAGAGCTAATAAATTCTTTTAAATTGCATATAGGTTATCAGTTGGATATTCTCCTTTTGGTTTTACTGTAAATTTCGGTTCGATAAACTCGATTCAATGGTGCTGCATGAAATTTATGTTAGAGATTTTACTGAGGATTGTTTTCTGTATTAATTTATATTGTTGATATTTGTTATGAACCATGTTAATATTACTGTTCTTTTATTTCTGCATAAAAAAAAATACTGTTGAATAAAAATGTAGATAATGTTATCAGAAAAAAAGTATTGAATCTGTTTTCATTGAATATTTCAAAATCAAAAACAAATGAAATTTCCCTGAGTCGCCCTCTGCAGCCGTAAATCGGCACTTATCCATCAAACTCAGCTGACACGGGCTGACATTTGGCTCGTAATAATTTGAGAAATGCGTATATCTATGGTGAATCATTTGTGTGTGAGTGAATTTTCTGATAAATACAAACTCATTCGCACAACTACAGCCAGACTATGTGAACGAAAATAACAAAAATAAATTGATGAAAAAGAGAAAAAAAAAAAAGGCAAATAAATATGTCGTCTCGTCTGTTATTTGTGGTCATATAAAGAGTTGAGGAACAAAAGTCAAATACTGTGGCTGCGCTTTTTGCATCCAATCGAAAGCAAGTGCAGTTTGTTCAGCGTTATTTTATTTTATTTTTTTTTTTTCTCTGAAAAATTGCATTTTGTCCAGGCAAATCGACAAAATTCACAACAGAAAGTGACGAACAAGAAAAAAAGCAGTCAAAGTGCAGCGAAATTACGAGTCGTCGATGATTTCTTATAATTGAGACACAGAAAAAAAAAATTGGCGTGTAATTTGTTCGAGAATCGAATTGATGAATGACATCGAGTGCGTCAATTTTGCGTAATAGCTGTGTAGAACCGATGTCCATTTGAATGTTCCGAGCATATCAAGTGTGTGTGTGTGTTACAATTTGATGAATTGTTTTGGATATTGTGAAAGTAATGCTGGTAACGCAAAAATCATCATTCACTCTATAAGTAGTGTTGTATATCAAGTGTGAGCACATAGAAGAGCAGCAGAAGCAGCTGTAGCAGTACATTCCGACAGATATCTGCGCTTATTCGCTCAATTGTTGTTTGATATTTCGTAGACTAGCATCAATATTACAATATATATATACATAGAAGCAACAAAAAAAACGAAATATAAACGCAAAACAGTGTGGATTTTGGTTATTCGTTCACTGTCTCACTCGCGCGCTCTACGATGCGAGTATTTGTTATGTGCTCAATGTGAATGACTGTGTTTTGTAGGGGTTTTTTTGTGTGCTGTTGCCATTTTATGCGAGACGCAGTGTATTTGCCAGACAAAGAAAAGTAGACATTTCACTATTGCGTTTTGCGTAAAAACCAATCCAAGACGATCAACACAACCAATCAACAAAAAATAAACAATATTAGAAACAGACGAAAAAAAACTGGTGATTTTTCTATGTTTTCGGCAGAAAAAAACAACCAAATCGACTTTCTCTATTTGTGTCTATCGCAGCGATACGATAACTGAAACACAACGGAAACCTTATCGACAGTGATCGAGCGTTGAATAATTAGATTTACGCAAATTTTTCTAGTTTAAATTGTTATTGTTGGTGTTTTCGGTGTATTTTTATTTGTTTGTGGTGTGTGATTACGAAACCGTGCGCTACACAAGGACAATACATCAGCAATAAACTATTTTTTTCGTGTATTCTGCATATCATGTGAGAACCAAATGGAGAACCAAACACGGAACTGAAATCTAAATTTAATCGTTTCACAACTAAAGGGAACAAACCGTGCTCGACCGTGCTCAAAAATCAGATTCAAAACATATGTCTCAGGCGTCATAATATTCACCAGTTTAGAATTGAGCAAATTTTGTTGAGAGAGAGAGAGAGAAGAAAAAAAACAATCGAATGCAACCATGAATTGACCTTATGTCGCATACATTTTCACGTCGACCACTTTAACTTTAAGTCATTGATTTGTGTGTGTTTTTTTTCTCGTTCTGTTCCTTTCGTTCGTTCGTGCTTTTATTCGATCTATGCTACATGTGTGTGTTGCATTTTCATTTGCATGTTAAGTGCTGGACAGTGCAATAAAAAATTGATTGAATAAATTAGCACTTTTGATGAATTTTGAAAGTGCGAGTCGATTCTAATAGAGGGAAAGCAAGCGGGCAAGCAACAAACGAATTGACGCGCTCCGAATAATGAGCGCAACTATTTTGTGATAAAGAAACGTAACGCATCCAATCTTATAAACAACCGTTATCGTTTTTTGATACGCGCGCAAGAGGTGACGAAACCAAAGCTAAAAACTCGTGAATCTTATAGAGATCTTCTAATATTAGTTTAGCATAGCAAACTAAAACAAACAAACAAATAAATACCGTAAAAATGGGCAACTGCTTTAAACGGTCAACCACAGACGACATCTCGTTGTTGCGAGGTGGAAATGAACCAAATCGAGAATCTACAGAACAACTGGGACCGGCTCCGTTATATTCGGTAAGTATATGCACGCATGGCGCTCGTATGACAAAGACAACGACGATGACGACGGCAGCGATGGTGAATCAATACAAGATTGAATCATCGTCTAATTTTAGCTCAACTTTTAACTCTTTCGCTCATTTCTCCAAATAAATCGGTTTATGTTTCATTTGCAGGAGGTATTGCAGCCAGTATTTTATCCATCGCCATCGGTGGGCCGGCCAGTGACCCACTTGACGGAGGAGGAACAAGTGAAAATAGCGAAACGCATCGGTTTGATACAACACTTGCCGGTGGGGCTGTATGATGGATGCAAAAAGGCTCGTGAATGTGTGATTTGTATGATTGAATTCAATGTCGGCGACTCGATCCGTTATCTACCTTGTATGCACACCTATCACGTTGGCTGTATCGATGATTGGCTGATGCGAAGTCTCACATGTCCCAGGTGCTTATTTCAAATATTTTCATTGAAAAAGTCACACAAGAAAAGTCTCCATTTATAGACGATGTGAATTGTAAAATTCTTAGCAAAATTTCATGTTTTTTTTTTCTTCAAATTTTACCACATTATTTATGCATTATTTTTCTCTATTTCGCAGTTGCCTGGAGCCAGTTGACGCAGCTCTGCTCACCACTTATGAAACCTGCTAATAGTTCTTCTTTGTTTCTCCTCCCCGCATCTCCTTCAACAGATAAGAAGGAACCAACAACTAAATTGACCGTTTTCTTCTTTTTTTCTTATAATATTTCGATAGATAAGAATGAAATGACTTTTGTTTCTCATACCAAACAAAAATTCTCTTCGAAGAACAATCATACACATGTTTGTTGTGACGATAGTGCGAGGCGACATAATTGTTCGCCGTTTATTCGCCGCATGGAAACTACATACATTTTACGCTAACGTTATTTAGTAGGAATAACACGAAAATACAAAATTTAAATTATGGAATGAGTGATAAGAGTATTCATGGGAAATTAGTTGGTGTGATTAATTCGAAATCGAGCTATTTGGATTGAATTTCTTTTTGGGCTGTCTAACTAGTTCGCTAAATCACTTAAAGTGTCTACAATTATAGTTTTTTTTTTTTGTAAATAATTCAAAATATACATCGTTTATCACCAGATTTTTCTTTCTCAAATTATAACCAATAACAAACTGGATCGACAGATGCATATATATAAAGCGCATGAACAAATTCTCACTTTGAACCCTGCGAATAAAATTGATTGACTTGAAGAAGAAAAAAACATTGTGACGACGAAATGAAAGAAGAATTATGTATATGTTGTTTAGCTATCGATAGATAAGTGTATATTTGCAAAGTTATTTGTATGGGACTAGAATGAACGGATGCATAGTTTATACCATAGTTTATTTAATGATCTATTTCTTTACACGTTTAGAAACAAATATCTCTAGATATATTATTATTATTTTTTTTTCTCCGTCTTTTCAAACTAAAACATCTCTAACGTGACGACATAAAAATTCTAACGAATGAACAAACAGCCAATTACACTACTTTTTATTACTATTGATTCGGTTTAAGATTGGTTATACTTACATTTTGATTGTATTTATATTTGATATTGAAATTAAACACGGAAAATCTGTAAAAAAAATACATTCTTTTTCATTTGGATTTTTTTATTCTGTTGTGCTCATGGTTTTATTCATTTTTCAGTTTTTCTATGCGGGTACAATTTTGTTTTTTTATTTTTTGGCCAGTAAAATCGGGATTTTATCTTGGATGTTGCATGATCATTTCGTGAAGATGTGTTGATAAACGACTTTTATCACAAGTATTTTTATCGTTGTGGACTATGCTAATTTGACGCCGTAAAATGAATTGGATTAAACGAAGCAGTAGACGTTGTAGTTTGAAAACAGATAAACACTAGTTCGACTTTTATTGTAATAATGATTGTGATTCGATATATGAAGCCGGGCAATGTCATAGGAAGAGGTGTATATGCGTCAAACGTTGACCGAATGAATGGCTACATTAGTATAAGGTGCGTCATTCGCTCTGGGGAAGAGCTCAAAAATCACACATTTCACGTTGCAAATGGGAATGAGTGTTGAAATTGATGCCACGACCTGACTTATGCACCCAAATTAACTTTTAGTGTGCTATATAATTGAGATTAGCGCAAAATCGCGACCGTTCAAGTTGTAAGGGCGCAGATTGTAATCTCTTGTTTTGCTTTGTGTGATGGTGGTTGCCGGTCAACGGCCAACGGAGAGAACGAAGAGAAGAACTCACACTTTGAGAATTGTTAGGCTTAGATGTGCGTACTGTGTTATGATTAGATGAACGCTTTCATTTTTTCTAAACTCCTATCCAATTATACCAAGCTCTAATACATTTTTATCTCGTGCAAATTGTCCGAAACTATAATACTCATAGAATAATCGAAATATTGCCCAAAATAACTTTAATTCGCACACGATTGCTGTCATCATCTGTAAACAAAATTCCTTTTCTGAACAAAAACAGAAACAAATGCGAAATTTCGACGTCGAAAGAATGTTGTCATTCGAAATTAATGTTCTTGGACTATTGATATTCTCCCACACAAAACGTGCTCGATGTTTTGCAATACAACCAAACCCAAACCACAACAACAAAATCGAACAAACAAAAATTCGATGTTTTCTGTACTACTGTAAAGACTGTGATAAATATTAAACACAAGTTAATTTTTTTTTTTTGCTGAAAATTGTTTCGAAATATCGATGGTAAAATCAACCAATAAATATTGCATAATGTGCGAACACAAAATAGCATTTTTATATCCTCTGATAAGTTATTTGTGTGGCCCCATATCTCCAAAACTAAACCGTTTTTCAATAAAATGTGTGTTTGGCTTTTACTTAACAAATGGTTTGATAAGTTTTGTTTCATCCAGCACTCTATATCGTTTGCAACAGCATTCGAATACTATTACGAAGAGCGCCGCAATTATGCCTACGGACAAGGAAAATATTAGCTGCTAAAATCAAAGATAAAATAGAAACAGTTTTGTAATGAAATATATTGACGCATACCAATGACTAAAACGAGGAAACACCCTTGCATATCTTTTAAGTTGACAGTATGATTCTCGATTTCGATGGAACTGGCTTTGCTGGAACAACGATCTTTCTTCGGCAAATATTCGCTTAGCCATTTTTGAATGAATCCCATTTGAAGCATTCGATAGATTTCATTGTTGAAAATGTTCAGGTAAGGACTGTTTGTCGGTAAAATCAAACCAATCTTTTCATCAAGAAACTTTTCATTGCCTGGAACATATAATTATGACATCGATTAGCGTCAATTAGCATCAATTAGAGAGATGGAGGGATATACAATGCGCCGAACGTACTCAAGGTGAACTCGCATTTGTCAGTCTCAAGGAATTCTTTGCGCATAATATGCAACAAATTTGTTTCCCAGTCGATGATTATATGTTTTCCGCCCCGAACCCGTGAAATTGTGCCATTTGTAACGCTATCATGCGTTTCCGTACTGTCATTCAGTCTGACATATTTTTCAATTTCGGTTTCCTGCATTGAGATTGAAGTGGGTTAACGAAATTTGTTGAATTTTCTTTGATTTTTTTAAATTAAATTCTTGAAAAAATTTAAAATCTTCCAGCGAATAAATACGATTATTATATTCATGCCATTTTGTTTCCTCGGTTTGTCTTGTGTTTACTTACTTTGAGATAAGACTCCAAGTAAGTGTTTGATCGAATGCTCCAGGTAAATCCATGCTTCTGGTTGACCAATTGACCGACCGTATTCACTGGTATTTCCATTTTTGGGAATGTTAAAAACGCAACCAAATTGCCACAGTATGTAGTGATCACCACAAGCACCACAAGCCACCATGTGCCCACAATAATTCGACCACTGTCTGATCTAGGTAAATACATACCACCTAAATATGTAATAGACAATAAGTATGAATATAAATAAAATGTATATATTATTATTCGAACGAAAAGCCATCAAAATTGGATGCCATGTGTTATACCTTGCTGCAAAAGTGCGCCGTACATATACCAAAAACAGTTTTGAATTTTGAATAAGCCACCTTTTTTCGTAATATGATGATGTTCATGGTATGGTGACAGATAATGTACTACGTAAAACAGTGGCCCTATCAAAGCCATAGTTAATGATAGACAAACCCAAGTCTGCATCAAATGTGGAGTTCGAGTTAAGACGAGATAGAAAGAAGAGAAGGACCAAAAATATCGAGAATGAATAATAAATCGATTAGACGGAGAGAAAGAAAACCAAATTCCAAACTGTCTCACATCCACTGTAAACGGCGATAGAAACAAATACAGACGGCTGAGCTCCTTTGGTCGCGGTATCATCATGCCATACGCCTGTACGCTGATAGGGAACGTGAAGTTCAACACCTTTTCGTACGTTTCATGCACCGTTAAAGCAATCGCTCCAAAAAGCACCTGTAAAATCACGACCAATGTTAAAAGTCAATATTTTATGAAGCGAATCGGAGTGCAGTGCACGCTTTTCACTTTCACGTGCTTCATAAATAAATAAAATTTCAATTAACTCGCGAATAAAGTTCAGTCGGTCAATACAAGCTCACTAGTAACTAGTTCAAATTTTCTCTATCAATTGGTGCCGTTTGTGTGATCGCGCTTACCGTGTTTTCGGTTAATAATTCGAGAACATCGGACGGCAAACCAAATGTGGCTTTCATATCATCATCAGCCTTTGAAGGAAATATGATTGAAAATGAATAGAAAACAGATATTAGGATCGAAATAAATATTGGAAATCAATTCCGTGAAAGTGTCAATCAATAAATACCGTTACGTTGAAATCGTCCCAAAAACTGTATGTGGTACGATTTCCACTGCGTTCGACATTATGCACTGCGTAACTGAATAGAAATCGGAATTTTGGGTTATTTCATATTGAATCTAAAGAAACAGGAATTCTTACGTAAAGTTCAGCTTAACAGCCAATTCGTTAAGAATATTGACGCTGATGCCACGCATTGATTTCACCTCGCCAGCCTATAAAATCAAAATTCGGTGATTTACCATGTTATGTAAATATTTCTGAATTTTTTAAAAATCAATATATTTACCTCATTGTACGAGACAATTTGCCACGGTGGATTCTATCAAAGAAATTCAAGACAATTTCAATCATCAAAACTTATCCATTTCGACACTGGGTATAAAGTGACTCACATGATAAATAGCAATCGGAATGGTACGATTTCGAAATCCATGTGCAATATGTGGAAATAGGTTGTCGTAGTGAACAAAACCATTTATCGGGTCCCAAACAGCAGAATACGTTAGGATCGGTTTGAACGCTTTCAATTTCCCTCCTGACGATTTAAACAACAAATATGATTGCAGAATTGTCTACGCTCAACAAATATTGTGAACAAACCTTCGGTATTATCAAATCTTAATCCCCAAGTTTCGGCTGATTCGAATTTCCAATTGACACACGGCTTGCACTGTTGCACATCACGTAAGCGGTCCTTTGGAATTTACAACAGTTATTTCAATTTAAAAAAAAAACCAAATCAATTTCAATTTAGTAACAGCGAATGTACCTTTATGAATTCCAGCATATTATCGCGACGTTCACGCTTTGTCAATCGAATCGATTCCCATTCCTCGTCGGAAATTTGGCTGTAAATGGTCTCCTCTTCGCGCACTAGTTTCGACAATGACATGGCAAAATTCTTCAAAAGTTCATGGTACAAACAATTTTCGCCCAGCGAACAGCTGCCGTCAATGATTGTATTGTTTGTGGCAATTGCCACATTACCACCTTCTTTTATATACGTTATCAATTGTGTAACATTTGTTTTTCGCGGATTTGACACCAAAAACAACCATTGACTGGCCGTATTTATCATATTCAATTCGGTGGCCACTTCTATTATTGTCATCGGAATGGTGGCAATTACCATAAAATTGGCACCTGAATACAAAGAAGCGAACAATTTCATGTGATTTTTTATTTTGCTTTGAAATTAAAAAAAAAATATTTTCATTTGACACAACCTACCAACACTTCTAGTAGGAAAAGTTGACAAGCTTTTTTTTATATTCTCACGACGTTCATACAAATCCGTGCTACTGTTTAGCTTCAAAAGAGAAACAGACATGGCCAGTGAGTCACTTTCAACCGATAGAGAAGATGCCACTCGACTAATTGTATCGCGATCTAAATGAATAGAGATGAAAAATGGAGAATTCTTCAAAAACTCACCTCGCTTAACAAATTTGGCTCATCATTTTCAGCCGATTCTGGTCGATAATGAATGCACAAAAAGTCAATAAAATCGATTAAAAACAACAAAAAATGTAGTTCATACCGAAAATATCATCGTAGAGTATTGTGGCTGTTTTCCAGTTCACCGAATGTGATGTTCGAATATCGACAAGAATTTGCGGTAATTCGACTCCAATTTTTATTCGCGGAATCTAGAACACAGGTTAAATGATTCAAAAAAGTTTCAGAAAAAAATCTCCGTTTTTTTTTTCGTACGGTTAATGCTTCGTGCAATGGCAATCGTGGACAATCGGGGTCTGTGATAGCGAGCAAAAGTAAACGTTCTTTACGAACATGTTCGAATATTTCCCAAGTGGCAGCACAGCTTGCGATCGAAAAAACAACCGTAAAATCTGGCAAAAAAAAAAATTTGAAAAAGTAAATGAGTTAAAAGTAAATTGGTTCACTCTTGTTCGTAGATTGATTGGATTGTCAATGTGATTGAAATGAAAATTTATCTCTATTGCCATTGTGATATAAATTTTGCGCGACGAGAAACAAAATATGATTTTTCCATCATGAGAATTACCTTTATTAAAGTTGATTTTAGTCCATGAATAATATTTCACATTGAGTCCAGCGCCGCGTAAATCCTCTCTTATCACCCGTTCGATGGTTTCTTTGAGCACTTCGAACGTTTTTTCATATTCTATGCCCAGATATTCATGGTCGATGATCACACCTATTCAATTGAGCAAATTACTATTAAGAAAACACTTTCTAAAACACCAATTCGAGTCTAGTTCATTTACCCATAGTGGCATTCGCTACAAGTAGCGATGGAAAATCGTTTGCTTGCGAGTATTTTACCCAAACAAAAATTAAAATCAAAATCCCAATCGATTTCTGTGCCATTTTGTGCGACTTTTTCCACTTTTCCAACTCAAGCTGTCGACCGATTCTGCGGTCACCGATGGAAACGCTTCGCCTTATATACTCACCGAAAATCGGGACATCATCATTTATAATTCACATTTTCATAAGGTGTCAGATGATCACATCAAATATTCATTGTTAGTCGGTCGGTCGCGTGATTTATTCATCCGCTCGTACAATTCAAGTGCAACATTGTAACGGAGAAGCACATTTCAAAAATTGTTCTAGCTCAAGTGAACTGCCGTACTAGATTCAATGTTGCTCATCACCACAGAGACATGCTAACGAGCGGGTGTTCATTCAATACAATGTGACAGTGGCTTTAGCATATGTCAAGTTTTTTTCCCTTCTTTCTGTATACACAATTCGGTTAGATCGCACGCGTATTTCGTTTGCTTGAACAACGTTTCACCAATTTCAAACCACAACAAAATGACTAGTGCAGTTAAAGCTGAAGAATATTTTTATGGTAAGTGGAAAAGCAATGGGTTTTTGTAGAGGAAAAGAAATTGAAAAAAAAAAATTGTATTTTTCCGATAGCTACTACGCTTGATAAAGAAGGAGATGAGTCAGTATGGACACCAGTGCAATGGGAACCAGCCCAGCGTTTGGCCATCAGACAATTGATGCTCGGTCATACCGCAAAAGCCGATGAGTACAATGTTATTGAAGTATGTTTACTCAAATTGAATTGTAACGAAGATTTGAAGAAGAAAAAAAATTTAAAAAAAGTGTACTTTTCCATAGGTTGAGGCTCCGTCTGTGAATGGTTCAGTCAAAATTCCAATCGCAGTGCTGAAAATTGGTGAACAGCGTGTGGTTCAATCAAATCTGGAATTTCCCGAAGGTCCAGTCACATTCAAATTGGTTGAAGGCAGTGGTCCAGTGATTATCACCGGTTTGCAGGCACCACCAGACACTAGCGCCGATGAGGCTTATGCCATGGACGAAATGGCTGGCGAAGAGGAACTCGTCGATGAAGAAGAGGTAAAATGATGATGGCCATAGTTTTCTTCCAAAATATCTATTCTAATGGAATTCTTCAATTAAAAGTAATCTTATTCCCCAAATCAATTGCAGTTACTGGATGAAGAGGACTATATAGAAGAAGAGCAAGAGCCTGAAAATCCACCAAAGAGACAAAAACTATCGAACAATAAATGAAATTCAATTTGAAAATAAACAAACTCGATAATTTTAATGAAAATTCTCTTTCAATTCATTTCATTGGTCCCAAAATAGGGAAAATGCCCATTTTCATTCATTAAAGCCAATAAAAAAAAATGCTCCTGTTGATAAATAAATTGTTTGTTAAGCGAATCGCATTGTTTGACAGATGAATTTTGGTACTAGATTTTGACAGTTGGTCGCGCTCCTATGAAATGTCAACGCTGATAGCAGCACAAAAATATTTCTTTTCTACATTTGACCGGCTTATTGCTCGTATCTAGATCCCGTATTAAAATCCAACTTTATTTCCACAATCATAACCATGGACGATAATTTCTACGGTAAATATTCCATCTAAATAGATTCTTTGCTAGAAAATGCTCTTATTTTATGGTGGTCATTGAGATTTCATAAAAAATATTGTACGTAAAAAAAATTGTTGAATTTTTGTTTGGCAACAATCGTTTGTATGAAATGTCAAAGTGCTGCACTTGTGTAAACACGCATTGAAACCGACCGAAAAAAAAAAAAACGTTTCGCTCATTTACATTTTATAATGTTGGCAATTACATTTTTTGTGCCATTAATTAGACCGCATGTATTCTCTGTTTGATTGTAGCCTCAACACTCGATTCAACCAACAAATCCGTCAAATGGGACGTTGTCGGTGATACAAAAGAATTCCCAAATCCATTCTACAAATTGATCATTCGCCAGTTTTTGCTCGGCCATACGGCCAAAGAGAATGAATACAATGTCGTTGAAGTGAGTTCACACATGTTCTATTCGTTTTTGTTGTTGTTGTTGATCTAATTTTCTATCTGTTGTTGGTGTTTTTCGATTGAAATTGTAGATTGAAACGTCATCGATGAGTGAATCGAAACCAAATCAAATCAAAGTACCAGTAGCTGTATTGAAAGCCGGCGAAACACGTTCCATCCAAACAGTTTTGGAATTTCCCGATCCACCAGTTACATTCAAATTGGTTGAAGGCAACGGACCCGTTTACATTCATGGCCAACAAGTACCAGGAAACTACGAAATTGAAGACTCCACCGAGCTGTCGGGCGAAGAAGAAGAGGTAGGTTCTGAAAATCATGTCTTGTTTTGCACTGTGTTTGTTTTCTCATGTACTGAATCGTTTTGCTTGTGTTTGCAGGAGGAAGACGAAGAAGATGCCAAGGTGTCGATTTCAAAGGCAAAGAACGCCAAAAACGGCAAGAAGAACTGATTCACCAAATCTTTTAGCAAAATCAGTCCAATTGCTGTGATAGCTTCACAACAAAGACGCTCACATATGCTAGGCATATTCGACAAATTCAACTGTTGTTATACACAGTTCCAACCAACAACAGCTACACACTTTGGCATTCAGCCCTGTAAATCTATCATAAATCAAATAAATTTACATTAAGTTTGAGATTAAATCGCATTTTACTTCTTATCGTTTATTCACCGCCGATAAATACATTGAGTCGGCCATTTGTTCCGTGCAGACTTTTTTTTTTACTCAATTTTATAGATGAATTTATCACTTCCACAGCCCAATGAAATGAAGTTCATTTTTGCATCAGCATAAAATTCATTTTTTATGGATTGTCATGGAATATTTTTTGAGCAATATCCAAATGGCAAAAATCAATCGGTCATTCATTTGGTGTTTGTATTCAACAAAATATTGCGATTAACAAACATTTTACCAATTTCACGCGTGAACTGATCCAGACCGGTTCATCGAAAAATTCACTTGAAACAAACAAAAATCTAGTACATCAAAATGGCAAATAAGAATAAACTTGTTGGTAATTCAAAATGTCAAATCCAGGCAATATTTCTTTACAAACCGGTGCGTTGCTTCGTACACATGGTATTCTAATTGAAGCAAACATTTAATTTTCCCATTTTATTCATTTCAATAGGCTTATTCTGTTTGAATTGTTAATAAAACGCATCAACAATGAAGGGTGTTGTGAAATCTGAAGAATACTTTTATGGTAAGTTTTAAGAAAAGCAATAATTTGATAAATGTTTCAATGCTGTTGGCATCAACGCACGCACACACACATTTGCAACTGCATGTGATATAACCAAAAAAAAATATTTGCAATTAATTTGCATAAATTGTGTTCGTTTGTCATTCGCATAGGTGCCACATTGGACAAGAAGGGTGCATCAATCACATGGGACTCAAAAGCCGAAAGCGAAGAATCCTTGAATGCTGATCGCTTGCATTTGCGCCAAATTTTGCTCGGTCACACAGCCAAAGAAAATGAATACAACGTCGTTGAGGTTAGTATGAACAAAAATATGGTTCATATTTTTCGTAGCAATATGAAGTTGATCGCCATTTTTTTCGGTTTTTATTTAAACAGGTGGAAACCCTTTCGGCCAATGAAACTGTGAAAATTCCAATTGCTGTGTTAAAAGTGGGTGAATCACGTGTCGTACAACCCGAATTGGAGTTCCCATACGGACCCGTTACATTCACATTGGTCGAAGGCAGTGGCCCAGTTTACATTCACGGACAACAAGTACCAAATGGCTACGAAGACCAAGTCATCGAAGGTGGCGAAGATTACGACAGCGACGAAGAAGGCGTAAGTTAACACAAACCTTAACCTTTATTTTTTTTCTCTTTGCTTGAACAGCATCGATTGACCATGTGCATTTTCTCTCGATTTCAGTTGGAAGAAAACGACTTCGAAGAAGATGCTGAGGAATTACCACCATCGAAGAAACCAAAGTTGGCAACCAACAAATCAAACAAGAAAAAATAAGCCAATTGATTGAAAATACAGTTTTTTAAACAGAGAAATACAAACACAAAAAATATACTATAACAAACATTTCCAATTTATTTGCTTCCGATTGTTTTACTCGAACTTTTTCAATCTGACTAGATTTGTTGGTTGAATATGACCGTTCGTATAGTCTTTCCCGTCGGGATATTTTTTTGTGATATAATTTATGAGTCCATTCACATAAACTCGATCGTGTTTGCGTAGATTGCGGCCTATCTCAAGCATTTCTGGATCGTTATAAATTAGCACCCTGTGTAAATCTCTTGATATTGACTCATCTTGCATCCCTTTCCTGCTGAACACATCGAAATAGACCAATCAATTAATAAAATGAATTACATTTTCATGCATGATTCACTGAAGCAACTATTTTTTACCGTGTCGTAAAGTGTGTGTTCAGAGAGAATGCACAAATATTTCGTTCATTATACACTTCAGTGCCAATGAATGCCAGCATTTCAATGCTATTTTGATCCGGTTGAATTGGCCGAGTTTCGTCTAATTTTTCCATCGATTCCACGGTGACTTTTGGATTTGGTTCCAAAAAGAATAATTCGTTTGCCATGACCTCAACATCCTGATGTATTTGATTTTCAATGTAAACATTTTCGGTTTTCATTCTGCCACCGATGTAAATCCGTTTGTTCACAGCCAATTGATTTCCGACCATAGCCAGCAGATTCGAATTTGCAATAGATACGCGATGAACACAACTAAAAGTGCATGATTTTCGTAATGTGTAAAATTATTCGAATTTTGGAAATAGCAGTGGTCACTTACTAGCTCGTATCCTCATTTAATGTTTTCAGAAATAGTCTTATCGCCCCATTCCGGAGTCGTTTTACTTTGTGCTCGATTGTTCCCATCAATTTTACGACATTTATTTCTGGAATTTATTCAAATTAAAATCTGGTCGTAAATCAAAAATTTAAAAAACGAAATTGTTCGAATTAAATTGGTTTTCTCAAATAAAAGATTAGTTGAAAAAAAAAATCCAATTCTGCAAATCAACACATACCCATTGGTGGCCTATACATCACTTGAGCAAATCCATTTGTGAGACAAAATTTCGAATTGATGCCCGTGAAATTATGTTTACTAATGTTGCGAAGCATTGTGTCGATTCAGCGGTATTTACTATGGATTTTGCCGCGTTAAAAGACCTGTTCTCAGTATTATTTACGATAAATGAACACTTTTATAAACAAACCGCTCCGAATTTTGGAGGTTAGGACACAAATCGCTGCATTTGACAGATGTCAACTCATTGAGAATTTCAAAAACATTGCATGTTTACCATTGGAGTCAATACACAATTCTGAATGAACGAACGAATGTTGAACAGGTGTCCCTTGAAGAAAATTTTCGTTTGAATAATGTTTTTTTTTTTGTCGAATGCAACTTGGCTGAATTTGTTTATTTGAAGAGTAACAGAGTCAAAAGAACCACATCAATACGCAATCTTTTCTGTTTGAATTAGGATTTCATTTGTTCCGAAGAATATAAACAAATTATCCATCCCATGTTTTAAAATGCATGTATTTCATGTTTGGCTGCCCCGTCACAACCTCATTAAAATCTAATCCCCAATTATGTGTTGAATGAAAGCATTTGTATCAATCGTGCAGACAGAATAATGAACAAAACAGGAAAGTTTACGTGACGCTTCGATCCGAAGATGCATTGGTATATGTGATTGAATTGCGGGCCGCAACGCTTTACGTCACATACCATTTCTATATATTCAATGTTATATGTGTATATTATCATCACGCAGAGAAAGTACAATGAATGTATGACTCGGTTGTACTATATGGTTTAGTATACGTTTAGCCGGCGGACACATCGTAGCCACCGCTCGAATCCGACACATTTTTCATTCAAATTTATTCATCAACAGTTTAATTTGAATTTTTTTTTCATTTTCTCAACGCAGGAAAATTTTAATATCGAATAATAGGTGTATTTTAGTGATTTTGATCTGAACAAGAAACGACGGTCATTTTATCCACAACGAGGTGTATATGTGTGTGTAAGTGAGATGTGATTGAAGAATTTTTTTTTTTCGGCAATCGCTTGTGTCAAAGAGAAAACAACAATAACAACAACTATACACATTCTTCCAAAATATTCAATTGATGACATTCTGTCAAAAAAAAAAACTCACTATTCCAAATGATTGAATCGTGTACATTTTATTAACAAGTTTTTCGTTTTGTTTTCAGATAATTTTTTTATTTCTTTAACCAAATTCTGCGTCAACCAGAAAAGAAATCGTGCAAAATTGTTTAAAAATCGACAATTTTTAATTTTATAATTTATTTTGGTTAATTGTGAATTGGAAAGTTGCTGAAAATAAAATGTATGCAATTCGTCGATATGCAAATTTAAAACAGTTCGTCAAGTTGGAGCAATGTGGTCGTTTAGCAAACATTGTTCAAAGTGCCACATCGAACAGAACATTTTACACATATTCACCGGAACCAAGCCAGCCCATAAACCGAGACCCCACATTCTGTTCAATTGAAGATGCAGTTAAATGCGTCAAATCAGGTATGTAAACGAGATGTTTCTGGTTTTCAGGAAATTTCTTTTATTACGCTGTAACTAAATTGAAACGAACGAGCCATGCTCTATGCCAAAAATCGATTTTAAATGCTAAAATACAAATAGCCGAAAAAATGAATCGTCAAATTGTTTGAAAATCTATTTTTAAACCCCAGAAATGGAGTTCGTGTTTTTCAACGCGCGGGCTGTTGTTTCAATGCCTAGTTCATTTTGAATTGAATATTCATGATATTTCTGAATTGTGCTGATTATATTTCATGTTGATACTATTAACCGGGTTTCAATATTGATTTTTCCCGCGTATAATAAGGATAACATAGTGTGAGAGTGATATCACTTACACGAAGATGTGTGCCAAGTAACCACTTTAAAGCGGGTTATCCACTTTCGCGTTGACACATATACGGAAGAGTGAGTTTACTTATAAAACAATGAAGAAAAACACAATTTTCGCTGCTCTGAGTGAAATATTGACGTTGTGCTCACTGTTTGTTTTGTATGTATTTCATAACCATAGCCAGGCACAAATTAACATTGTTAATGCATGCATTTCAAGAGCGATAAGCGAAAAAAAAACGCTGATACCGATATCAAACACACAATATGTCAACTGAACTTTGAAATGAATTTTATTGTAACTGGTTTTTGTCACCTGGGTAAAAGTACGAAATATGAGATTTCGATGAATTATTAATTACAGAAAATTGCTGACGATGTTTTAAAAAAAAGATTTCATTGCTTAATATAAATTGTAGAGCGCTGCTTGAATCATACCAAACGTAACAATAGGTTCGGCAGTTGATTGATTCGTTTGAGTGCTTGCGCCAAGACATCAAAGTTCATCAATGTCAACACAGAACGTAAACTTATGGGAATGTTTTTGATTTTCTTCTTTGCCTTTCGAACGTCGACGTTAATTATTCAAATTGAACGTTAGCGTCAACATTTATTCATAAGTTTCGTTGCGAGGAAGTTTTATTGAGTTAAAAGCAGAAGAATTGAATACGAGTTAAGCTTGTTAAATGATTCGAGCTGCACAGTCGACTATATTTAACGGCATTTGTATGTGGTAGACAGCAAATATTTACTACACTTGTGCATTTGTTTTAGCTCACATTTCGAAATTGTCGTATAATTTTAATGCGTTTTTTTTCTACTTAATTATCTGCGATATAATGAGGCTTGGTGACGATTAACGTTGCCAGAAAAATGATCGAGAATAGTTGTCTCACTCGTTGGCGCTATGTTTCCGCATATTTGAAGTGAGCCGCAATTGAAAAATGATTTTTTTTTCGTGTGTCAAATCCGATATTTGTGTCGAAGGTTTTTTTGACATACTTCATACGCGGTCTGTATGCAAAAAGTGAATTTTTGTTGTCGTTTTTTTGCTTCCTATCCCGACCTCCGAAGTTGTGAAATTTCGAATTCATAACAAAAACAGCTGATTAGATAAAAATGGAATTGTCACGTCTAACGCCCGATTTGCATTCAATAGCAAAACATTGATTTCAACATAAAAAACATTGCAGTTTTTGTTTATCTTTTTATTCTCTTATTCATCGCAATACAACGTTTGTGTTCTCATGATAATTTCTTATGCTTTCAAATAACATCATAGTCAAATATTATCGCATCCAGTCGAGACTTTTTATTATGCATGAATCTGCTGTGCGAGTGTGGCGACAGGCGAGTGTACAATATATCAGCATGAAACTCACTGGATACATATGCAAAACCACGTCATGAATTATAGAACAACCGGAAAGCTGTGTGGTATTAAAGTTAATTAAATAATAAAATGTCAAGCGAATCAACAAAATCATTGAGTTCTGGTTGATTGCAACCAATTGAGCATTTTATTGAACATAATCGCAAAAGTATTTGCGTCCATTTCATTTGGTGGACTTTTTCTAAATTGTATTGTCGTAGTCACTTTCAATTCTATTTGAACAACAAAAGATGTTTATTAAATGTTTTAAACAACAAAAATGAGCCAAAGCATTTATTTAAGCATCCAAATGCGGAAAAAACCTTGAAAAATGTATTAGTCGCTCGAGATTTATGCTGTTTTGCTGTGTTTGCAACCCGGCATAAATACTACTGTGTCCAAAAAGTAAGGTGACATTGCATTTATTTTGAAAATTCTTTATTTATTCTTCCAAATCAATTTCATCGCCTTCAAAGTAATCCCCTCCCGATACAATGCACTTATGCCAACGGATTTTCCAATCTTCGAAACAGTTGAAAAAGTCGACTTCAGGGATGGCCCTCAGCTCCGTCTTCGCTGCGGCTTCAATCTGCTCTATCGTCTCAAAACGGTGTCCCCGGAGCGGTCTTTTGAGCTTGTTGAACAGCCAGAAGTCGCACGGTGCCAAATCAGGTGAATACGGTGGTTGTGGAACGATATGAGTCGAGTTTTTGGCGAAATGTTCACGAAGAATGATCGCATTGTGAGACGATGCATTATCATGGTGCAAAAACCAAGAGTTGTCTTTCCACAATTCCGGCCTCTTTTGGCGGATAGCGTTACGCAAACGACGCATAACACTCAAATGATATTCCTTGTTGACTGTTTGACCCGGGGGAAGGAACTCATAATGCACAACACCCCGATAATCGAAGAAAACAGTCAACATGACCTTGATTTTTGAGCGACTTTGGCGCGGTTTTTTTTGGTCTCGGCTCACCTTTGGCACGATATTCGCTCGATTGGTCGGTTGTTTCCGGGTCGTAAGCATAGATCCAAGTCTCGTCTCCAGTGATCATGCATTTCGTCTTGTCAATGTAGTCAGAAAGCATTGTTTCACACACGTCAACTCGACACCTTTTTTCCAAAAAATTCAATGATTTCGGTACCAGTCGAGATTTGACGCGTTTGAGGCCCAAAACATCCTTCAAAATGGTATTGACTGAGCCTTTCGATATGCCAATATCATCAGCAAGGTCTCTAATCGTTAATCGACGGTTTTCCAACACCAAATCTTTAATTTTTTGGACGTGAGCTTCGTCGGTTGAGGTTGATGGTCGCCCAGCACGCTCTTCGTCTTCGACACATTCACGGCCTGCTTGGAACTCACTATACCACTTGTAAACATTTTTTTTCGACATAGCCTCATCACCAAAGGCTTTCTGCACCATCCTCAACGAATCCGCAGCAGAAAATTGATTCCGCAAACAAAATTTAATGCAAATTCTTTGATCAACAAATTTCGACATCGCAAAAAACGAGAAATTCACTTTTAGCAGTCCACAAAACGAAGCGTATCTCAAACACTAATGAATATTTTGACGTGTAATTTGGCAGGGATGTCAAAGACAGTCCTACCAACCTAAAAATAAAAGGATTTTTTCAAATTCCCCAGCGCGCTAAATTTTAAATGCAATGTCACCTTACTTTTTGGACACAGTAGTATAACACAAAAAGACACACAGCAACAGCTAATCGAATCGTCACGCTCAATTTCTGACAGGTTATAAATAAAGGCAGCGCCTTTGTTTACGTTTCGCTATCTCTTCTCACTTGTGCTGTGAACGAAAATCATGATCATGGCTAATAAGAAGCTATTTACTTTAATAGAAACAAAAACACGTCGGTTAATGTAGGCATTAAATTAGTGTCATTAATGAAATAATTGAATCACTGTTGTTTTTTTTTTTCAATTCATAAACAATTTGTTTTGTAATGAAATGTATGATCATAGTTCATTGAATGTAAACAAACTTATTTTTCCCTTCTTCTTAGGTGATACGGTATTTGTTCAAGGAGCTGCTGCGACCCCGACGAAGCTTGTAACTGCTTTGGCTGAACATGGCAAGGCCGCCAAATTGAGCGATGTGACAGTTTGCGCTATGCACACCGAGGGCTTGGCCGAATACACTGATCCATCATTGGAGAACACTTTCCGATCGGTTTCATTCTTCATGGGTGGCAATGTACGTAAAGCAGTTGCTGATGGCCGTGCCGATGCTGTACCAATCTTTTTGCATGAAATTCCAAAACTTTTCCACCAGAAAATCTATCGTCCAGATGTCGCACTTATTTCGGTAAGACGAGAAATGCGCATTTTTTGGAAGTTTTCCAAGAAACCAAAAAAAAAAATTTACAAATTATTCTATTGTTGTTCAATTCTAGGTCTCGCCACCAGATCAACACGGCTACTGTTCATTGGGAACGAGTGTCGATTGTGTCCGAGCTGCTCTTCAACATTCCAAAGTCATTGTTGGTGGGTCAAACATTAATTAGAGAGTTAGAAAACAATGGAACTAATTGAAATGACTCAATTTCAGCGCAAATTAACAAGCAAATGCCACGCACATTCGGAGATTCAATTATTCATCAATCACATTTTGATTTTGCTGCTCATATCGATGTACCGCTTCCATCGCATGGCGGCAAAGGGTCAACAGAACAAGAAACTAAAATTGGTCAATTAATCGCTGAGAATTTGGTTGATGATGGTGCCACACTGCAAATGGGTACGACTCTCTCATATATTTTATTCCAAAAATATTGTCATTTTCAAATGAATTCGTTGCTCTGTTTACAGGAATCGGAAATATCCCTGATGCTGTTTTGAATGCATTGCACAATCACCAGGACCTTGGTATTCATTCGGAGATGTTTGCCGATGGTGTTGTCGATTTGGTGAAAAACGGTTGTGTAACGAACGCCAAGAAGGTTATCCACAAGGGACGTATCGTCGGTTCATTTTTGATCGGAACGAAGAAACTATACGACTTTGTTGATAACAATCCGTTTATCGGTACGTTGTTGCCTTGTTAAAAGACGAATTGAGCAATAGGAATTGATCATGTTTTTTTTCCCCAGAAATGTTGGATATTTCCTATGTAAATAATGTCGGAATTATTGCGAAAAACCCAAAAATGACTGCCATCAATTCAGCCATCGAAGTTGATCTCACCGGACAAGTGTGCTCCGATTCGATTGGAACCAGAATGTACTCAGGTAAGCAAAAAGACTGATATGAATGACAATATTTTAATTGATTTGGATTTTCTAACGAAATATTGTACGTTTTTTCACAGGATTCGGTGGTCAAGTCGATTTTATTCGTGGTGCAGCCGAAGGATTCGATGGCAAAGGGAAACCAATCATTGCTCTGCCTTCAGTCACAAAACGCAATGAATCGAAAATTGTTCCAACTGTTAAATTGGGTAAAGACTTTTCTTTCTGTGAAACATTCGGTTCGTTTTGAAATCATATTTTAAATTTTCGTTCATTTTTTCTTCACTTGACAGGCGGTGGTATTGTAACATCTCGTGCCCATGTTCACTATGTAGTCACTGAGTTCGGTATCGCTCATTTGTTTGGAAAGACATTACGGCAACGAGCACACGCACTCATCAACATTGCCCACCCAGATCATCGAGAAAGCCTCGAGAAAGCTGCATTTGAACGGCTAAAATGCATGCCTTCCGCCTAAGCTCTCGCCTCAAGTATTAGATTTGCTATGTAAATTCCTAGCGAGTTGAACACAATTGTTAAGATATAAATTGGATTGGTTTGGAAATTTCAATAGAATTGGATGCAAATAAATTGGCTTAAAATTGAACGTTAAACCGAAAATATTGTTGAGCATTTTTGATGTATAGTTTGTAACCATGACTGATAAATTGGAATGGAGTTAGTATATTTAGGTTAGTATTAGCTGTTTGAACTATATACCTCTGCTCAATCCGAAAATGAAAGAAAGAAGCGATTCTTGATGGGTTCAAAATAGCAGAATTTTATTCACTTTTCGCACACATTTTCTTGATCATATTCTTATTTTACTTCTTCACAAGACTCTCGTATGATTTGTCCGATCAATGACGGGTTGCATTTAATTGGAACCAAAATTTAGACTCCGTATTAGCATACTCAATGGCCAATAGATTATTATTACCAGGAGCAATTTCTCCATATAATTTAACTTTGAATTCGAAATGTTTCGCCCTCTCTGCAAATCCGCACTGTTCCACATTGGATGCCGCGTGATAGTAGAATTGTCGACTGTCACCGTCACTTTTTAAAGCAACATAGCATGGCCAGTCTTTTGAAGTCACGTAAATTACATTTTCAACCTCTCCGATGATAGCATAATCATAAGCGCCATAGACTAAGGGGAATGGATTTTCTTTACAGTGGATATTTGGAACTTTTTGAACCTGATAATAATACATACCGACTCCAAGTAGAACAAAAATCAAACCGATCCTCATTTTGATTCGAATGGATTGCAATACAATTAAAACAATTGCTTGTTACAATTGGTTCTTCGAATTGAAAATGAAACTTTTTTCAAAATTTACGTTTTTTTATTGCAATGAATTGAGCAAGAGCGTAGAGGAAACTGGATTTTAAACTTCTGTCATCAACTTTTTTATACATTTTTCTGATGAAGAAGGAATGTTCATTGTTTTCATGCAGCAACAAACCAAAATTACAGAGAGTAATAAATTTCCGTTGCAATTCGACATATTTACGGTTAAACTTGGCTTGGAAATGCACAATTTCAATAATTAGCAATAAATGAAACCAAGTATTTTGGGCATTCGCACCGGACTTTCTTGATATTCATGCGATCGGATGAAAACAAAATTTCTATTGTAATTTTTTTTAAACTGAAAAATGTTTAATAAAAATAAGAGAACAATAGATTGCAATTCTTACAACTGCATAGTACACAGTATTCTATGGAATTGTTGCATTGATTTTTATTACGTATTACATTATCGAATGGTACTTGTTTCTTGTCATCTTCTGAATTTAGATGTTTTATTTTCGTAAAAGTAAACAATTTTAGATTAGATTGCTTTGTTGGCGAACCAAAACTTGGCTTTTGTTCCCGCATACTCAATGCCCTTCACACCATTATTGGATGTCTTATCGCCGATTTCTTCGTACAATTTCACTTTTTTACCCGAATTCTTGGCTCGTTCTGTGAATTCACATTGTGCCACATTGTATGCAGCATGATAGAAATATTGTCGTCTGTCGCCTGCACTCAAACAATATAGCAAGGGAACGATGTTGAAGTTACGTAAATTACATTTTCAACTGGACCCTCAATCTCATAATCGTATACACAGACTAAATAAACAAAAAATAACGCTTTTAATCTAATTGAGGTTCTGTGGTTTGTCTAAACGACTTTTCTATATGTAGATAAACCAATGTTCAAATGGTTATATTTTCATGTATTTTGACAAAAATTATCAATTCACGATCATTTTTAATAATAAAGAGATAAGAGATAGATGTCTTCAGTAAAATTATAGGAGTCTGCGAGTTATACAACTTTGTCCAAGACACCAAACCTCTATCTCTTATCAGCATCGCGAAAATTCACTCATTTTCAGTATTTTCAGTATTTTCAGTAACATTCATATATGAATTTTGTATAACCACTTTATTGACATTTTTCACTGGTTTATTGGAATATGTCCATTAATAGCTGGTCTATTGGCAGCTGCCAATTATTTACATTATTTTCCAATGGTGGACATATTATACGATGACATCTAGCAGAATTTTGAGCAATTAACATCGATGCGGTAAACTTTGGACACAAAGGATAATGACACAAAGGATATGGTTTTCATTTCAGTCTGTCAAAACATGGTCTGAATGTCAGTTCAATTTGAGATTTGGTTGTAACATAAACAAATGTGGTGTTGCTTTTAAGATGACTTGCACAGAAAAAATGGAAGATCCCTTAAGAAAGTGGCTTTTGAAACATATAAATGCGATGTGTGCAATTTTTTATATACTGTTAAATACATATTCAATTTTTATACTTACAACTAAGTGCACTGGAATTAAAGAAGTACTAACGATGGCAGCTGCGATATTTTCGCACTTATTTACAAGTAATACTCAGATATATTCCAAATAAATCAAATATCTTTATTAGTTTATATTTTTTCTTTAATGTTCATTCGCAGTGTATCTTTTATTATACAAAATAAACGATTTTCGTAACAAATGTAAGGCGTATATCGGTTTATTTCTACTATGCGAAGCAACTCTCGGTTATATTATGATGATTATCTTGAGGACTATGCTACTTTTCCAAGAGGATCTTCTCTCTTTCCTAGCTGACAGTCTCTTAATATTTTCGCTCGTTTCGTACATGGGAATGAACATTTTTAATCATTTGCTATTGATTTACTGGGAAATCTATGAGGTAAGCGCAAAAAACATCTAAACTGAGTTTACTGCGAACAACATCTCTTTTACGCTAATAGCAATGCGTACACGAACGAGTCAGTGTGACAGTTGGTGTGATCGAGACAAAATTTAACAGCAAACAATTTGGTTGTGTCATTTTAAATGTTCTTTACTCATTTGAGAAAACTGAAACTGCAAATGGTTCAAAAACGTAAGTTAGCTTTGTTTTCACAAAAAAAACCTTAATAACATTTTCAGATTGAAGAAAAATCTCTATGGACAACAGCTGTGATGAGAGCAATAATGCGCGTATTACATTCCATAACAATAACTGCAATGTACATACTCTTGATATGTATTCCACCCGGAAATTTTGATATCCTCCCACCATTTTTCATTTTTATTATTAGTATGTGTAATACTTACACTCATCAATTTATTGATCTGAATATTTTAATCATTCAACATTCAACATTTTTCATCAGATATAAACCTCTATTATTTTTCACGTATGGGAAAGGAAACGTTGATACAAAACGAAATCACCTCCGTTGCCCGAAAACATTGGCCACATCACAAGCTAATAAATTTGTTATTCTTATTCTTATGGTTGATATCAATGTTTTGTCAACTCACAGGATTTGAAAAATTGGCAAAAGATGATGTCTATAAGTTTTATGAGACTTGTTTTGAGCTAGAAATATTTTTTGCGCTCCAAATCTTCATCTTATTGGCCGCTGGTATTATATTTGAATGGTTTTTTCTTTTCATTCTAAATTCAAAAATTTTATGGTTAATCGTACATTTTCAAATATTTTCAATAGCCCAAGACTATTTTCTAAAATATCACATGGATTACTCGGACGAACTTCCAATATCCATTGAAAATTATATTGAGGAAAGCGATGATGAAGCTGAAGAAGGAAGTGATTATTATTATGAAGATGGAGACGTAACAAGCAATGACGAATCACAAGATGAAGAAAATAACATTGAATCAGACAATGAAGATCTGGAAATCCCTTTAATCCTAGTTTTTGACTACGCTGAACCAATTAAAACTCGCTAGTAATATTTCACTGGTTTAGATTGAACAGAAAATATTAAAAAAAAAGTATTTAAATCCATGTATATAGTAGCAACAAAAGGAAAAGTGAATGAAAAATAAAGCTTTTCTGCTGGAAAATGATTTGAATTTTTCGGCTCATCCTTACAGAGAGAATTGATACGTATTTGGATAATTAAAGTGAATATAGCTACCAGAAATATCAGTAATTCTAGTGAACAAATTGTAATGAGGTGATGTATTGTATTGTATTGCTTGTCACTGCATATAGAGTTGTAACAAATGTTCACTTGAATGTCATTCAGAAAATAATAACAATAACGTGTCAACTTGTATCTAGAATATACAAAAGATTATTCTTTTTCCTTCATTCATTTTTCTTTATTATTTATTAAATAATTTAGTGAAAAACAAATGCGTAAATAAATCTAACATGTTCATAAGTTATAATTACTTTAAGTTTCAGATTGTGTGAAGTTCAAGCATAAATGATGATCGCGAATATCTCCCCATCCTCCGTTACTCTTGCCTAGTAGAACATCTTTTGTACTATTCGTTAAAATTTCTAGGCTTTCTGGATAGAATTCATTGGATTCTTTTGCAGTTTGAAGAAGATGCTGAATTTCTGAGATGAGTTTATTGGGATCACAATCGTTACTATGTATATGCGAACCACTGAAAAATGCGTTTGCAAATTAAAGAAACTTTATTTCTATAATTTATGATTCTGAATGGGTAAACCAGTCATTAAATGATACCATATGCCGATGTGAAAGGCACGTGCTCGTTTGGAAATCATCGTGTACAACTTCTTCGATAGACACTTCTGTGATACATGGTGTAATGAAAAATCCCAATTGTAGTCATCGTACCTAGAATGAAAAAAATAGCTTTTTTCGTCGTCTTTTAACATTAAATATAATTCAAAATCGTCGTACGTGCAAAAAGTGTTGGCACATTCCACTATTTCATGCCAAGTGCTTCGATTGAACGCAAATCCCAAGTTGATCGAATGACCCCAAGGAACGATTCCCACCTGTTTTTTTTTCATATTTGTGGTAATTTTCAATATTAGATCTTAGGTAATTTTATGTGAAAGAATATGCGTTGAAGTATCACAATGTATTCATAAACCTCGTTGGTTTTTGATCGTGAATATTCCTTTAAGGATTTCATATGATTTGCCAAAGTGAAAATATTGCATTTCGCACATTCTGCATTAGACTTATTCTGCATTGAATTTAACATGTGTAAAAAATCTTCGGCCAAATAATGATCGTCTTCGAGGAACAGAACGAGACCTGTTTTACATTTGAAAAAATTTTAAATTTTTAAATTTTAAATTGAATTTGTTATCTGGACAGCGGCCACTCAAGCAAATAGCAAATTCAATGGTCTGATTTCAATGTGTAAATTGATATTGACTATGACTCACCTGTGTGATGTTGTGTGACATTCAACTGATCGAAAACGCGATTCGCTTTCCACCACCAGTGATGTTTTATTTGTGTGATTTTAGCGGTGCGATAGTGGCCATATTGATCCGGACAATGTGCGTTATTGCATTTACGTTTGATGGCTCTGAAATATTTCAATTAGTCGATTTCACTTTAAACTTCCATTCACACTTACTCATCCCGTGACATATTTTGAGGGCAATCGTTCAGGGATTCGCCTGGGAATTCATGCTCGTGCGTTTGTATTGAATACGGGTAAAATATCTAATTTCAAGATTACATTTCGAACTTTAGATAACGAGTTCATAGATTCCGTTTCCTTGTAAATCACTTGAAATACCTGCAACACTTTACAAAAGTCTATCTGCCGTATGAGATCGTTGATATTCTCGTCGTAATAGTCGTGCGAGAAAATTAGCAATGTGCTTGAAATGTCTTTGGCTTGTGATAAGCTCGCGATCAAATGTTCTAAATAATCGATTCGAGTATGGACCTGCACAACAATCACCACCGAATTCGTTGCCAGTGGGCCGAACCGATCCTCGTTCAAAATTGGCTGTTGCTCATTGTGCTGCTTAATATTCCGAATGATTTCGTCCGACTCAGCTAAGTTCTGTTCTGCATTATGATTTAAGTTCAAGTTCGAGCTCTGACCAGAGCTCTGATTTGAATTTTGCTCAGAATTAAAAGCGCGGTTTTGATAAGAATCCTGAGATAAATGCGCTAATCAAGTTGAAATGTGACACATCTTTTTATGTTCTGTAATATGAACACTTTCATTCTTAAGCTGTAACTTACGGTCTTTTGTGGAAGTTAAATATATGACTGTGAAAATGCCAACACCTAGAATGGAACAAACGCTCAAAATGAATAATTTCCGTTTGGGAATGATCATCGTCGCTATCAATCGTACAGGTAACTTCCACGACATCGAATGGTCTGACCAACATTGAAATTTTGAGTATCTCCATAACGTTGATAATGAAAATGTTGTCTTGTAATCAATAAACAGGGCCCGATTTACCTATAAATAAACGCGTACAAAAAGTGCGCACATCTCGAAAGGGCGCAACGCCAACCAAATTGGAGGAAAACTTCATTTGAATAGAGCGATGGATGAAAATGCCTAAATTCACAAAAATCCCACAATGAACAAACGTTAATGCGCTCGGATACTTCACAGTCACTGTCTTCTTGGCCGTAGCCTACTATTCTGTTCAGTTATTTTATCGCAATTCGGTAAACATCTGGTGCGCGTTTCGACAACACAAAACCCGATTTTTTGCTCATTTTTTTAGATTTGCGTTTTTAATTCATTTTCTGACGTATGGAATATGGATCGAGTCACAAATTTGAGGAATATTGACTGCAAATAAAAAGGTCTAGAGGTGCTTTTGCAATAATTTATTTCCAAATATAAGCCCTGTCTCAATTCAGGTATTCAATTTGGAATAAAACCACAATGAGCAATAAAATATTTATGCCGAGTGTCTTGAAGCAATGAAAAGTCGAACATTTGGGAGTGATTACTTTTTGTTACTTCATTTGGTTTTCTCTATCACGATCAATTTGAAATTTGAAGGGTGCGACAAAAATCTTGCGCAAGGGCGCATAACTAGTCAGAATAAGGCCCTGTTAATAAATATCATAAATCAAATTGTGAATAGTTAGCACCTTAATCTAATATTATCAAAAATGACCTTATCATTTTTTGGGACATTGTTATTGAACATTTTTAGTGTTAAACAATTTCGTCGCAGATAGATGTACGAATCATTCATATATTCGTTTATAAATGTACAGTTCAACAGAATTCGGCAATTGATAAGATAAGATTATTATCAAGTGAAAGCTACGACTCAATGGTATAGAACAGTCGGAAAGTTGACTTTTATTAGTGTGATTCTATAGACCAACAAATTGAACTTATCAGAATTGTGTGCGTACTAAACATGGTTGTCTTCATTCGTGAACATAGCATTCGATGAATTTGCATAGAACAATAACACATTGATGCCGCGTTTGCCCTCTAATGCGTGAATGTTTAATCAAGAACGTTATTTTATCTATTGATATCCACCAAAGCTCTTGCGATATCATAAATTGGATTGATTTATTTGTGCAAACACATTCCATTCCACACAGTTTGGTTTCAACTTTTTTGTTCTTTTATTTAGAACTATATTGATTGCATGAACTCACAAATGGGATTGATACATGCTCTCTCATGGAAATTCCGAATTTTAAAATAGAAATCTTTCAGATAAAAAATTCATGATCGATTTTTAAATAGTGGTTTTCACACAGTGTTCATACACTCAATGAACTCACGATAAAATAAATGCAACTGAAATATGTACGCATAGTTCACACATCCTAAATAAGAAAAGAAAAAACACTGTTTTCGCGCATTATTTCTATAAAAAAATAATTCAACATGCAAATAATCTACTGTTAATCGGATGTTTGAAACATTTTGAATGAAAAAAACAAACAATAAATTGAATAGCCTAGGATGCTCTTTTGTTCGACAAATTCTGCCGATAATAACGTTATCTGCATTTGAATCTTTTGTTGAAACATTATTGTCTTAAATGAAATTAACACTTGTGAAGTATTTTCTTTTAATTGTTCTTTTTCATGTCTACCCAAATCAATTATTCTAAGCGATTGTGAAAAATTGAGGTTCATATCGTTCGATTTGTGTGAAATTGTGCAACTCAAACAAAGATTTTGATTGTGAATTGTAAATTGAAATGAAAAAAACTTCTTTTTCTGACATAAATAGCAATTTTATTATTGCAAACGTTTTCGAGAATTACATTCTCATCTACAGGCACCACAACAAAAACTTGGCGTCTTGTTTTCGTTGTTTGTCTTTCACCAGTTTCACATTTTTTTTTCTCGCCGTTATTTTGCAATCTATTTGTTTTTTTTTATGTTTCATGTGTCATTTTCTTGCTGTTTTATACATTGGCATTATTATTTCCCTTTTTTCGTGTGCATCATGCACTGCAACGAATTAACAATAACAGTTAAGTTTTTGTTGTGGCACCTGAAGATGAGAATGCAATTCTCGAAAACGTTTGCAATATTAAAATTGCTATTTATGTCAGAAAAAGAAGTTTTTTCATTTAAATTTACAATTTATATGACTGACATAGTACGTAAATAATAAAATTTATAAATATTATGATCTCAAATATTCCAACGCCTGTTTCAATTGTTAATCGTGTCAGCATCTTCCGTGAAAAAAGTATCGTTAAATATGGATCAAAGTTTGGCAACAGCGAATACACTTTTTACCATATTTCGGATGTAGACCACAACATGTAGACGTTTTTTGAGATTTACTATTTTCAGTTTTTTGAGAATGTATTTTCAAATTATTATTGCTTAATACATTCTAAGTTTGTAAGCGATCGTACGCCTTGGAAATAGTGCCTTTAAGCTTCAACACATTTCCAACATTTGAAGAGTAATAAAACAAATGTTTGCTGCGAGATTATTCTCCTTAAATAATAACATTTCATTTATTCAATTAATAACTGGATATTCTGGAACAATTTATATAAAGATGCAAAATGGTTAGAATTACACCTGAGATTGACATTTCAATGAGATCTTTGTGCATGACACCACCACATTTGTTGAGACGATTTTTTTTTTGTATTTAATTAACTACGATGATTTTATCTCTCGTAAATAGCTCGCTTCATATTCAATCAAAATTAAGCTTCCGAATTTTTCGACTTGATTGAATCACTTGGAGCGGTGAAATTCAAACAGAGATGGTGATCTCGTACATCTCCCCATCCACCATTAGCTAGAAATGGATCTGGTTCAAAGCCAACACTAAATGCTAGTGTTATATTTTGTGGAAAGAGTTGAAGGGATTGGCTTGCAGTGTTAAGAACATTACGAACTTCGGTGACCATATGATCAGACTCACAACTCTGTTTCTCATGATGCAAACCGCTGCGAAGAAACATTTCAATGGATAAAAATCGTATAAGTTGTTTCAATTGCAGAATACCAACCATTCACCAATGTGAAAAACCCGCGGTCGAGAGGCAACCAGCGTATGAAATTTCTCTGGAAGACATTGTTCCGATATGTGTAGAAGTGTCCAGTCCCAATTGTAATCATCATACGTGCAAAATTGGTTGGCACACTTTCTGATGTTTAACCAAGTGCTGCGGTTCATGGCCATGGCCATGTTGTGCTTAACACTGATCCAGGGCATCGCTTTAACCTGATTGAAATAGAGATTTTCCATAGATTATTGTGTAACTTCTTCGTTTCTTCTATTTTTGATCACTTTCTCATCCACTTCAAACAGTCAATATTCCTATTTCTCCCCGTTACCTCGTTCGGATGAGTAAGCGTGTATTCATCGATGGAATCTAAATACGTTCCCAATGATAAAATATTACATTTTGGGCAAAGTGTTTCGACTTGTTTTTGCATCAACATTAACACATGTAAAAAATCTTCAGCCACATAATGATCTTCCTCGAGAAAGAGCACATAGCCTAGAGCAACGTTTATGAAAGTTAATTTAAAATTGACAATTATAATTGTTGGATGCAATTCACCTGTGTGATGTCGCGTGACATGTAATTGATCGAAAACACGATTCACTTTCCACCACCAGTGATGTTTGGTTTGAGTGAACTTTGCTTCACGATAGTGACCATAGCTATCTGGATGAAGTGCATTTTTGCACTGGCGTTCAATTGCTCTGTGCAAATCATGAATTTTGCATTAAATAAATTAATCGTCAAATGAAAACTTGTGTAATTTGTCACTTACAGATTCTGTTGAAGATTGCGTGGACAATCGTTTGGGTCTTCGCCTGGAAATGCGTGTACATGTGTTTGTATTGAATACGGGTAAAATATCTAAAAATCAAAACGTTGCCATGAAACTCGATTATTACTGTGAAAGAGGATCTGACAAGGATTTTGTAAATAAAAAGGATAAATTTACCTGTAGAACTCTGCAAAAGTTTATTGACTGCACCATTTTATTTATATTTTCGTCGTAATAGTCATGTGAAAATATCAACAACGCGCTGGAAATATTTTTGGCTTGTGATAAACTCGAGATCAAATGTTGTAAATATTCAATTCGATTGTGGACTTGCACAATAATCACCACCGAATCATTTTGCAATGCACTGAACAGATGATCGTTTCGAATTAGTTGCTCTTCGTTGTATCGCTTAATGGATCGCAATATTCTCTGGGCAGGCGTTGAATCACTTTCACTGTTTTGATTGATGAAACTCTTGCGAAATTTCCCTAATTCATAATAAAATCCTATCAAAATAGACAAATTCCGCATGTTTTCCATTCTCGTTCTTTTGAGATCATTCATTACTCACTTTTATGTGTGAAATCAATATGTAAAACTGTGAATATTAATATTAACAAGGATATCGTTAAACAAACTCGCAAATAAAATGAATTTCGTTTACGGACTAATGCTCCAGTCATCAATGATATGGCTTGTATATGACGGCCTGTTAAAAGGAAATGAATATGCATTAAAGAAATATTATTGAATGCATTACTTTAGCCTTTATTCCTTACAAATGGCCTTCAAATAGTAATGTACTTCAAGAGTATTGCACATTTTTCACTAATTCAAATTGAAATGAATACGAGTACACCAATGTTTTTAAGTTGTTTCGAACTTCTGTCGGCTCACAATCAAGACTTTGGGCGACTGAGTGTTGTTATTTTCAGTAAAGTTGCTCATTTTCAGCTTTTGATATGAATGTTATTATCAGGGCTGACCAAAATATTTATTTAACCGGGTTATGTTAACCCATAATTGTTAGCTGATTAGAAATCTGACGAATAGTTTGGCGCATTTCTACAATCAAATTCGAACTATGTTTGCTAATGGGTTAATAATACACAATATTATTGTTTTGCAAGCAATGCAAAAATTGTCACATATATAACATTTCATCGGAATCGAAATGCAAAACAAAACAACAACAAGAAGGCCCACAACTTGGTTCGGTCTACTGAAGTGTCCGAATTTAAAATTTAAAATGATTTGTTTTCAAAGTGAAATGCAACGACGCAACACAGAAAAGAAGCGTGGAGTTTTTTTTCTTCGATTTATCGCACTTTTCAATAATTTTCATTAGATTTGAATTTGTTACTCTCGAATCGCGAAAGAAGCAAAAGTGAAAAGAGATTCATCCGAAAGATGTGTGGAATATATTTCAGTAAAAATGTTTTATTCACAAAAATATCTTGGTTAGCCCTGATTATCATGTTCTTGGAAGTAAACAAATAATCTTAAATTTTTCCGGCAAAGTCGCAGCGTCCACGTCTCATGCAAATACGCATATGTCATGAACTCACATTTCTTATCAACTGAAATGTGTAGTATCAGTGAGTCAAGCGATTTACTTGTTTCAAGTATCAAAATCCATTTCAAAAATGTTGTGACTGAGAGCTCTCTTTCACATTATATGTGTATTACTCTCAAGTTGAATAGAAAGGAAGAGCTGCTTCTAATTTCAAACTAATAGCTACAACTGTTTATTTACATTTTACAGAAAATGCAGCATTTATCTCCTGAAAATCGGCAAGAATAAATACACAGTGATATAGTGTGTTTGTGCAGAAATGATTATTTCCTTTATTTCTTTGGTCGAATTTTACACAATAACAATATATTAATAAAAAGATCAACATTTTCGATTAGTTCCAATTTTAATGGATGTGAATCTAATCAATTTTGAAGTTTATTCTTTCAGATTTGTGCTGTTCTTGAATTTTTCAATTTGTAATACTTGATTCATTTAAAAAATGTTTATTCATAGGTGATGTAAATTTTTATTGAATATATCCAAGAGGTGGGACGAGTCCAATCACATACTTTCTATAGACGTTGTAACGAAGCGAAAGAAAACAAAGTTAGAGCAATTTAATATGCATTATGGGGATATTCAAATTTGGATTTTCTATCGGCATATTCTATACCAACAACTCTATTATTTTCGCCATTATCAATTTTACCGTACAAATGTACCGGGCGAACCCTTTCCATGGATCTTTCTGCGAATTTGCACATTTCAAGCTTGTTTGCTGCATGATAATCAAAATCATGCTGATTTCCATTGACCGACTCTATCGAGATATAGCAAGGGTAGCCGGATGAAGTGGCGAAAAATACGTTGTCAACATGTCCGGTGATGTTGTAATCATATCCGTAGACTGAAAATTGAAGCAACATGAATTAAATCTACTTATCTCAAGTAAATCTGATATTTGCTTTTATTTAACTCGTGATTTAACTGAATCAACAACAAACAACAAATTATTTCATACTTGCCTAGTCCAAGGAAAGAAATCACAATTGTCAAAATGACTTTCATCTTGTTCCAAAAATGAAGTACATTTTTTTCAATTCAGAAACGAAAAAAATGAATGGATTTGTACGAATGTTTCTTCAAAGCGATTACTGACGTTAATCAAAGGTAAACTGGGACTGATTTCAACCATTATGCTACACACGTCCTTTTATACTTTTTGGATATGGCTATTTCTAATTTAAAATCAATAATAGATTGCACATTAAACTTTTCTCGCACGAAAGTGAAATTCCAAAATGAATTTCCAGGAACAGCCAACACAAAACAGAAAAACTGTGAATATCAGAAGTGAATCAAACGACAAAAGGCACACAGAAATTTCTTTTTTTTGCATGTGTTAAACTTTGCCTATCGTGCAGAAAGGAATTGAAAAGTTTCATGTAAAAAAAATAAGTAAAACCAAATGCTTTGGTCAAGGCCAGTTGGTTAATAAATATGTTTGGATCAAAATTAAACACTAATATATTTTTTTAATTTAGATATTTTTCTCTGTTCCGCTCTGCACCCTTGATTGTTTCTTTTTTAATTTAAATTGTTAGTTTGTCGTTGCTCAACCAACTTTCTATTGCGCACTACATCATAGATGTTTTGCAATGACCATAAAATATATGTATTTCATCAAGTTTATCAAGCTCTTTCCAAGTTTATGCATAGTGTCGAACTTTTGTTCAAGCTCTACCATCTAAATGTACAGCGAAATAATTTACGGGCACGACGTAAGATGGCGTTTTTTCTGGTCAAAAAAGTTGCAATATCCCTTTGCACTACATGGAAACATAGAGCCAACCAATATTTAAAAAAACAATTTTGTCGAAAGTCAAGAGGCTTAAATGAGTTCTATGACGTCAGCTCCTCAGTTGCAAAATTCAAGCACGGTTTTGTGTTTTGAGTAATTTCTGCTAACTACTGCTCGCTCCCCAGCATTTCTTCTGCAACTACCAATGAGCAGAAATTCGCCAAAGTTTCAAAAGAAAAAGTAAAATTTCGTTAATCATTCCTGCAGCGAATCGAAAAAATCCTACCGTAACGCTTTATTATGACGAGATCAAACAATTTCGTTGGTCAGTTTTTTTTTCGATTTTGTGGGGGAAAATCGAGAACAATTTAAATGTAAACATCAAAAAGCAGTAGAAAAAAGTCAAAGAAGTGTTCATTGGAATCAATTTATTTATTAAAAATGGTCGATGTACAATATTATCATTTATTTACCCCGATTTATTGTGAGCATTTCATTTCGATTTACAATCTATCTACTTGATCAATTGTTTTATTAAATTTTTATACATTTTTTTCTTCTGTTTTTTGAAAAAACTCCTGTCTCAATTAGCTACATTCATTAAATATTTTCGATTAGTCGTTACCCAAGGAACAATTGTTAACGCAAATACATCCATTACCAAGCGTATGTAAACGGTTGAATTTGGGCCCGCATTTGGGTGTAGTTTCAGTCATTTTTAACGTCACAATGGAAGTAGAAAAAGAGCAGTAAAAACAAATCAATTAGAATGATATAAAAACGATTATGAATCAATATTCAATATGCTAATAAATAGTGATACTCACCTACAGGAATTATCCTGTACTCTACCTACATCTATATAGACTATAGAATATAGATAGCCATCGATATCTGGTATCGATGATGTCTGGGAGACTAAGACCTCAACCAACTACAAATAACATACTGTTACATAAATTCTTTTGAAAAATAAAACATAAATTGCGGCTCTATTGATATTAATGAATGTTGATGTTGGCATGTCGAATCCATGTTGGATACACGAGGTGTTGACGTGTGAACGCATCATGCAGCCGATGTCCAAAGAGTTCGCAATGCCCTGAAACAAAGAGAAAAAAAACACACACACATTACTATTGCATCAATTTTAATTCAATGAGTAACATACCTCTGTACAAGATCAATTTTGCAGCCGAAATGTCACGTTGCCAAACTGTCTTCAGTACTGGAGAGTCGTCAACAGGGTCTTCGGGCACATATTCATCTGTGTACTCGATGATACCGAGTTCAGCGTCGTGAATGATTACACCTCTGCGCTCTTCAACATTGTCATCCATACCGTTTGCCGCGTTTTGTTGCCAGTTTTTACGGTAGCAAATCACCTTAGACACAAAACCACGGGGTTGATTTGGATTCTGCACTGCTGCTTGTCGCATCGCTCGTCGCTCTGATCGTAACTTCCGCTTGCTCTTTGCCGCTACAATTTTCTCTGGTAGCTTCATTCCATCAGGCCAATCATCTTGATCGGGCATACACCATTCACACACCTTGACACGATCGTTCAATGTACTCAATGGAAATGGTTCGAAACATCTGGCACACAATCGTGATGATCTGGCTTCGTTCACAAATCGTATGACATTGCCTCCCATTTTCTTGAAACTCTTCACCAATTTCCGCACGCCCGGGCATCGAACGTGTTTCTTGATCTGTATTGGTGAATTTGCAGGTGGTTGGGAAGCTCCAATGTTAATGATGCATCGTTTGCGATTTGTCTGTTGAGCAACAACAAAAACATTCAATTTTTTCCAAAGAAACAAAAATTCAATCGTAAATTCTTACCAGCATTGCGGCCACCTTGTCACTGACCCGATTGGACTCGATGTAATGATCAAAACTTAAACGTGTGTACTTTTCGGTTGTGTACACTGCAATGGCTTTCTTCATGATGGTGAATCGATGCCGTATGTAGTCACGCCAATTGCTTCCTTTTGGTGATGGCATTCGGTCATATCGCGCTCGGTTGTTTCGATCACTCTCTTCGAACTGCCCAAAGGCACGAGTCCATCGCTCTCTCTTTTCTTTACGCACTCCTTCTCCGGTCCCATAATGATACTTCTTGCTGTTGATTGTGAAGTTCATCTGTGAGATGGAAACAAAAATCGAACAATAAAAATTAAACAATGAAATGGATTCACATGACACAATCACAATAGAATGCATTCAATCGCTAACATACCTCTTTGCCATTATGAATTCGCTCTTTGTCATTATTAATCCGTCGCCTAACGGTTGCATTCCACGTCTTCATGCCCCAATCAATGCCCAATTCATAGACATAGAAACCATCAGAGTACCGTTTACGCACCAAACCATCTTCCACTAACTTGTCGACTACGGTTTTCTTCACTGTGTACAGAATCGATGCCGATACACCATCGCTGAGAATATGTTCGAATTTTTTGTTTGCTTTCAACACTCGATTGATTTTCTCCATGTTAAAAATCATATTGAAATAATACGCTTGATTTGATTTTGACGTGACGTGGCCCACTGTATGTTGCCGACCATATTCATCACGCGGAATGGTACCGGTTTCGCACATCATACGATACAAAACATCAGCGTCTATTCTCACTGCCTTTCGCGTGTGATGACAGATTGGGATGACCACCAAATTCTTGATGTTTGGCAACGCAATGACTTGCACGATGTTGTCGTGGTGTTGTTCAACCCAGTTGAGGTGCGTTTCGATTTCCGATTGCATGATCAACCACATTGGCAATGATGAAAACCATGTATCTTCGTCTTTGGTGAATTTGGCGATATCATCGTCAGCTGGTCCACGAATGTCTCGAACGTAACGCAACAATCGATCTCGTTTGGCCAAGCGATTAGCATCACCTCTTGTTGCGTCATATCGTTTGATTGCCCATGACACTGCATTTGCCACATCTCGTTCATCGTATGTGTCCGGTAGGCCACGAATCCGGTTAGTGTAGTTCTGTCTGAATGCCTTCAATCTCAAGAAATACCGCAATCGTTTCTGTGCATGTGTATCCAAATTCGTCTTAACATTACGGCCATATTGTTGGAACAAATATTTCATCAAGTTGCCGAAGTAATCATTGTTTGGCCATGCGGAGCGATTCTCGATGTCCACATTCTCAAAGCAATGCCGGAACCATGGATCCATAATGAAATTGTCTTCCTTGTAGCGCCGCAACACAGCATAGAAGCAATTTTCGATGATGTGCATTCCATCGCCATCGTCGAAATATTCCCAATTGCCGGTGATGATGGCCTGTTCAGTGGCAGCTCTGACTTTGTTGAGGAATAGAAGCGACGCCAATTCAGATATTTCGGTGCATTTTATGCTGGTTTTTGTGATCCATGGCAGAATACGATCACGATATTCCGGTCGAACAATACTAGTGGCGGCCAACTTGATTGCAAAGTATGCTTTCTCCTCCTTTTGCTTGCCATCTTCAACTTTCCGCGGTTTCGACCTATTGCCACGAATGGCATGTGCCCCAATCCTTTTTCTGCCCATTATTGAACCCTGAAAAAATAGAATGAAAACACAAAAATTACTTTAGAACGCACTAGAAATGATTTTTTGTTGCTTCTAAATTACTTAATTTGAACGAAAAACGAAAAAAAAACAATCACTGTAAATCGAACAGTATTCACAACAAATGACTTGCCTTTCCAAATGTTCAGATCAATGTGAATGTGCAACCGGCATCAGTTTGACACATCAAGCTGAATTTGGTTGTGACACGAACACTGCACACCGTGATAAAATATCGAAACGCTCACGATATTTCGACAGCAGATTTCTTCCACAGGCTACGGATCAAAACTGTAAACAAACAAAAAAACACACAACAATCGATGGTTTGTTGATTTCGAAAATCACATGCACACGGTGGTATTGTTTGGTTCGATCACTCGTTCGATGTCACAACGATAACAATTCAAATGACTTACCCTTTTTCCCTTTTGCTGGCTGTTCAATATGAATTTAGTCGAACGAAGCAAAGATTCATATTTCATGACATGGTGAAATTGTGAACGGCGGTTTGTTTACAATAACAAACTTCAAAATGAACCAACACTAATAGCGGGAATATTCACTACATTAGTTTTGCCTGCCATCTCTGGACAATTTAAAACGTAATCGTTGAAAATCAGAAGAAATGAATTTGAAAATATACTCTCACCATTTAGTTCATTCTCTTTGGATCAATACATGAACAAAAACATGAACAATTTAAATCATAGAATTTTATGCTATTTTTGTGAACACTATTAATTGATACATAATTCTTTTCTCTTTAATTTAAAATCTAACATTTTCTCGTTCCCAATATTCATACAGTTGGTTTACACTGAAATTTCAGTCGATTTTGACGGAAAAAAAGTCTGAAAACGTTACATCTTTTAACGTTAAAAATGACTAAATTGCGTTACATGAATGTTTCTTGGGTAGTTCCCATGAAATATTTTATACACAAAGAAGAAAAAATTGTTATTCTTTTGTTGTATATTTTGAGGTGTGTTCCATGTGATGGATCTGCGTTGAAATAGTTTTAAAAAAAAAGCTCGTTGAAATCAACATGTTGCGTTTTAATTTTAAGTTTATCTCAAACACTACATCCACGAATAAACATTCACTGTCCAAAATAAAACGAAAGACGGAGACATTACAATTATGTATTTTATTTATGGTTAACGGTTATCCATTCTGCAAGGTTGTTCATTTTAATTGGCAATCTTTTTAGTGTTTTCAAAAGCTGATTGTAAATTTTGATTTTGACTAGAGTTTTGATCGAATTCTGAACCGCGTTTCTTTGGAAAATTTTGCATTGACTAGATTATTGAACAAATGTACTAGATAATTTCTTTTCTATTCATTTTACACGTAAATCAAACGAACGAAAAACATGTTGTCCTGCAATTCCACGAAGAGGAGAAAAAAATACGTTAAAGATATTGAAAACGAAAAAAAAAAAATTGTTTTGTCATTATTTTGTCCTTAAAAAATAAAATATCTATGTCTCTTAAAAATAAATAAGCTTAACCACGAAATTCGAAGTATTATATCACAAAACCGAGAGAAGAAATGAACATAGGTGATTTGAATTTCAATTCACTTGTGGCACTCTTCGAGTGCTGCTGCAATTTTCTTCGACATGACATTTTCTATTTATAAATAGATTATCTATAGATATAAAAAAAGAACATCATCATTTTTTTCGCCATAAAAATGAATCATTGTTCAGTGCTCCAGGGGATTCGAATGTGTTTCGATCAATTATAGCCGGCCCAAGTAACGTTTAAACATAGGTTGTGATCTCTGACGTCCGACCAGCCGCCGTTGCCCTTGCGTAGTTTCGATTTTTTGACGACACTGGCCACGGTTAACGTTAGACTCTTTGGATACAATTGGTGTGATTTGGTCGCAATACGAAGAACTTGCTGAACTTTCGAAATGACCTGATTTGACTCACAGTTCTTTTTCTTATGATGCACGCCGCTGAAATCAGGAGAGAAAAAAAGTTGGAAATATCTGCTGGGAATTCATTTGAAGAAGAGAGAGAGAGAGAGATAGAGAATACAAACCATTCACCAATGTGGAAGACGCGCGGTCCCTTGACAACCATCGCATGCAATTTCTTCTTTAGACATTGCTGTGATACGTGCTGCAGTGACCAATCCCAGTTATAGTCATCGTACGTGCAAAAGTGGTTAGCACATCGCACAACATCTCGCCATGTGCTTCTATTGAATGCAAAGCCCATGTTATGCTTACTGCTTACCCAGGGTATCACCTCGACCTAATCGAAATGGTATTTTGGTTTTTTTTTTGTATCATCCAATTAAAAGCATCCCGTTCAATCAATGACGTATGCAGACGAATCGGTATCGATGACGTGGTACAGGTGTTGGTGGTTATTATTGGAGGTGATATGCATTTTGTGTGGAGGATGGAAAATTGGTTTTCATTTGCAATGAACAACAACGACGATACAAAAATACAAAATTAATATCATGAATTTGAAATCATCGTATTCAATTTTGTCTAGGGATTCTAATGAACGAGTGTAATTTAAATAATTCGAAAAGTGCAATTCAAATTTAAAATGGTAATGATAAAAGAAAGAAGATATGACGCAAGTGCACATATAATATTCATTCAACAACAACAATAATACTCATAAGCAACGGGTCGAATGTGGCAAATGGAAAAGAATAAGCATATAATCAAGAAATTTTACATTAAACTTTTTTCTCACGACAAAACAAGGTCAAAACGAATTCCGAATGTACAGCAAACACAAAATAGAAAACTTTGAATCTATCAAAAGTGAATTAAACATCAAAGGGCACACGGAAATTTCATTTCATCTGGTATATGTGTATAACTTTACGAATGGCGCGCAAAGCGGCTTTGGAAAAGTAGAAAAATGTCTATATACAAATAAAATTGGAAGGAAAAAAAGCGCTCTGGCAGTCGCATTGGCCAAGGTCGTTTCATTAATAAAAATGTTTGAATTCAGATTGAACGATAAATCAAAACTTTGAAAACCAATTTTCTGCAACTTGAAAATTCAAGTTTTGTGTAAAACATAAGTAATTTGTGGGAAATCTCATTGCGGTACAACTGACCACAAAGCAATCAGTTCCCGCCAAATGCATGACAGAAGCATAGATTAAAACATAACACATGCAAAAGCGGTATACCGAACGTACTCAGCGTCGAGCATAAATTGGCACAGTTTTAATACTGAATTTGGCCAACCAAAAAAAAAAGAACAAAACCGCATGAACGAAACGAAATGAAGCAGAAACAGAACGAATCAAGAGAAGAGAGAGAGAGAGAGAGAGAGAGAGAGAGAGAGAGAGAAAGAAGCAGATTGAATGTTCAGCCAGAGGTATGTACCTTTTGATAGGTGGAATAAAGCGTAGGTAATATTTGGTATCCCCATGTTTCCGTGGCACGTTTTTCCGTTTTTATTCTATGCATTCCATCGCCAGATGACGATTTCTGAATGATTTCGTTGTAAGTGAGTATGTGTGGTCGTGCATATTTTTTTCGGTAATTTTTATTTTTTTTCATTCGGTGGTGGACAAAAGGTGTTAGTGTAATTAACAGAGAGAAATAGTGTGTTAAATATGGTATGGTTCTATGGTATTTAGATTTGGGATCGGGGTTAAATGGTAGCTGCTCAATGAATAACAACAAAATTACAATCATGAAGTGAAATGACACACATTTTGCCTAACAATCAAGCTGTTTTTTTTTCTTCTTCGGAAGGTAATTGTTACACTGAGTGTGCATATGCCTTTGCAGGATTTTGCTTTACTCGTGCTACTTAATATTTTAATGTCTCATTTCTCACAAAATGCTCTAATTTAGTCGACTGACTGCATAATTTATGTAAGGAAAACATTACGCTTGCTTTTAACGTTACACTAGAAAAATCAATTTGGATGCCATTTAATAATGCATAGAAATTTTACCTTGTTCACATTTGCGTACGTATAATAGTTGAATGTCTTTAAATACGTTCCCAACGATAAGATGTTACATTTAGTGCATAGCTCATTTGCTCGCTTCTGCATTAGCGCGAGCAAATGCAGGAAGTCTTCAGCGACATAATGATCTTCTTCGAGGAACAACACCAAACCTGAAACAACAACAAGGTGTGTTTGAATTGTGTTTTCTATTATTTTTTTTTATTTTCTTGAATTGATATCATAAAGCGGCACAGCTTCGACGCAATTTACCTGTGTGATGTCGCGTGACATCCAATTGATCGAAAACGCGATTCGCTTTCCACCACCAGTGATGTTTCGTCTGAGTGAATTTAGCTTCACGATAATGGCCGTATAGATCTGGATAAAGTGCATTATTACACTTGCGAACGATTGCTCTATGCAATCGGAGTTTTTTTTTCGAAAGAAAAAAGGCATTTTTTCATCGAATTAATCAAAAAACAATCAAATATCAATTGAAAATTGTATGCAATTTGTAACTCACTGATCTCGTTTGAGATTGCGTGGGCAATCGTTTGGATCTTCGCCTGGAAACTCGTGCTCATGTGTTTGTATCGAATACGGATAAAATATCTGAAATAAGCACAAAAATACGTTGTAAATATTTGACAAAGCAAAAAGACTTTAAAAAAAAAATCGGTTCTAACAAAAATTCGCTTTTCCAAACGTACCTGTAAGACTTTACAAAAGTCAATTGTTTGCACCAAATCATTTATATTTTCGTCGTAATAATCATGAGAAAATATCAACAAAGTCTTGGAAATATCTTTAGCTTGTGCCAAACTCACGATCAAATGTCGTAAATACTCGATTCGAGTGTGAACCTGTGAAAAAGCGTCCAAATAGTGTGAGTGAAAATGTGTATTAAAATTTTTTTAAATCAGGTGCGATTTATTGCATTGTTTTTCGCAACGTAATTAACATTTGATATTGAAATAGAGTAGTTGTTTAATCTTACCTGCACAACAATTATCACAGAATCATTTTGCAATGGACCGAACAGATCTTCGTTGAGAATCGACTGTAGTTCATTGTATCGTGCAATGTTTCGTAACATTTCTATCACATTGGACGATTGCGTTGGATGGTTTTGTCCTTCGGTTGTGCTATTACCTTTTTGGTAAATGGTTTGATTGCGTGATTTCATCGTTAAAAATTTACGATAAACCACCGGCACCATTTGCAGAATGGCCGCCGACGAGTCATTTGCCAATTCATTTATCGAATGCTCCCGATAATCGGCTAAATATTTCCGATGGTAACGCCAACGAATTAAAAAAAAAAAAGTCCGAAGGAGAAAAAGAGAAAAACAAACATAGCATTTTATGGGTTTCTTCTGAGTAAATATTTGAACTCGATGATACTTACGACTGTTTATTAAATGTAATTGTAGAACGGCAAACAGTACCAAGCAAATTACGACAATGGCTCGTAAATAAAATGAATTTCGTTTACGAGCCAGTGCTCCGGTATTTGGTAGGGCTATTGGAATTCGGCGGCCTGCCCAGAAAGATACAAAGACAAAGAATGGGAGAGAGAGAGAGGAAAAAAATGGTTAGAAATGCTTGATATATTACAGCAATGATATTGTGAAGAGCATTACCGCGCATTTTGAGTGCAAATAGTTTATTTGTAGCGTCGTCGTCGTCGTTCTTCTTCTTTTTGTGTCTGTCTAACAACAACTCGTCTTACAGAGATAACATAATTGTTCAGTATTGTTATTCATCGTCGTCCCTGGAATGCACATAAAAATTGTATTAATTTAAATTAAATTCACGGCAAAATATACGATGAAATGAAATAGTTGCTATTAGTGGTTTAAAAAAAATGTGCAAAATGCGAAGCGTTCGCACGAAGTTTTGGATTCCAACTGCGAAATACTGAAACAACTGAAATCCGAATGTTACCGGATTGCAAAACAAAACAAAAGCCTATTTAAGCTTGTGAATGTGAATCAAAAACGCGATGTAGTCTATTCTACGCGGCAGCGATGCAGCTGACATTTTCGCAAACATTTATTACAATTAACTTGGTCGTTTGGTTGGCAGATGTTTGATTCGTCCTATTCGAAAAGTTTATCTATTTCGATTCATCCGAACGCTGATGTTCGCCGTCATCATCATCATCGTCGTCGTTGTCATAGTCGATGAATTATGGAGCTAAACATAACATTTGCAATTCGTCACAATTTGCCCGACTACAACTGATGTTGGTACAGTTAAGTTCGACTGATAAGATTCCGCCTGCATTCTTCTATTTTCTTTCTATCATTTATGCACGTTTCATCCGTTAATACTTTGACTAATGTTTCGTTGGCTGTGTCTGTCTCTTTTATATCCCGTTTTGCTGGCCTTGTCAGTGGAAGAGTTATGATAGAAAACATAATACGAAATGCACACACAAGCTTTCGAAAAACCGCACTTGATAACAATGAAGATTCTTCATTGAAGAATATGTCAGTTCAGCAAAGTGCATGCATAAAAATAGAATAATGTTCTCGTTAGTTGCACAAATGATATAGCCTATACGTGTACTTATGTGTGATGGTCGTGTATCGAGAGAAATTGAAAATTTAATGGCACATTATTATCGAAGCGAATGCAACGTTAAAAAAATACGCTCATATGCAATGAACCATAAATGTGTACGCTACGATCTAGACGCTATAGTCTAGATAAAATCTACTTAGAATCACAGTTGTGCAATGGCTTACAAAATTAGCTCAACAATGTATTGACTTAGATTCGTTCAATTGAAATTTCGATCATCAAAAGGAGACGTATTAAATGCCTCATTATTATGCACTTTAAAAGATGTTTATTATTTAAAACGATTGCATGCTGCTGCTGCTGCTGCTGCTGCCGCCGCACTATTGCTACTGCGACGATGGCTGTAGCTGTTCATATTCCAAAATGCAGGTAAAAACTTATGGCGAGAATGCTTGCCTCTGTTGTTGCGTGCGGAAAATTGCTTCGTTTATACAATTTGTCGATCAACTAATTAAAATGTCTTCGAAACACAGTGTGACGCTGCGTTAGTACGGATGAATGCCAATTCATTGAGGTTGCACAGACAAACACACGCATTACCAGTTCAAATATTTTCTCTCTCGCTTTCGTTCTCTATCGGCACAGTGCTAATTGATCAGGCGATAACAAGGTGTTAATTGAATACACATTGTGTGTGACCTTCTTGAAAACTCTGTAATCCGTTCTAATCAATCCGAAAACAAACGCAATGACGCTCGAAAAAACATTAAAGGCGCTCCGTTTATTTGGGTCAATGGGGGGGAGTATTTCACAATAAAATACCCAACTGAGCACGAGGAAATGTGGAAGCGGGAGAGAGAGAGAGAAAAAAAGGACCAATCAAGTTAAGCTGTGTACTTTAAAAGTATTATGTACTTTTTATTGTTTGTGCCTGCCGGAAATATTACATGCTTTCTGGCCAAGGAAATCAAACAATTCCATCTAATCGCCACAGTTCGTTACAGCATTGACGAAATAATCAATTTTGGTATTATGATGTCGGTGCTCATAAAAAAAACGAACCACTTTCCGGAATGAACCAAATTTGTTCGTGTGTCAAATGCAGTAATTAATCAACATTACGCATATAGTACATTCGTTGATCACCATGGAAATATAATCCCCATGAAAACAAAGCAATTAAAAACACTTTTTCATTTAAAAAAAAATACTACCAACTATAAATGGATGTCATTACTCTCGTTTTAATTTTATCGCCTTTCTGCATTTGAAAGTGGAAAAAAAGCCCGAGTAATTTTACTACATAAATGTCGATTTAAATATTAAATGAAGCAAAAACGCCCCAATGATTTTAAATAAATGAATGCTGATATCTGTCTGGAATTTTAAATCGTCCGAAATTGAAATTCTTAAACGAAAGTGAAAAACCTACCGAACCAAATCAACTCGTGATTTCAATTGAATTGAATAATGCATTAAAACAGTAAAAAATGTGGAGAGAGAGAGAGAGAGAGAAAAAAAAACGCCAATGTTATCCACATGACCGTTCGCAATCGACCCGAAATCAATTAAACGAAAGCGGCCATGAGTCGAGTCACAGGCAAACAATTGAAAACATGAATAAGTGGCGGTATAACAGGTCACCGTGACTATATCAAAATCACATCGCAATAAAACATTATTTGATGATTTATCGCATAAATTTCTATTTCATTGATTTATTTTTAATTTACAAGTTACCATGTTGGATATCGTTGCGTGGGCAATACTGCTTTGGACACACTCACGCACACACAAGTTGCCCAGAGAGAAGTTGTTCTTAGCCAACAGTCAACGCCAAAGCGTACAGAAGATATTTTGTTTCTTGTTTGCAGAAATATTTACCGAAAAAATCGATACACAGTGGAAGTGGAATGCAATGACGTTGAGGAAGGAACGACGAAATGAAATGCGTCAAAAATGTCGCGATTTGTGTATTGAAATAACCGGGAAACGCCCAATAAAAGAACTATAATTATTATGCAATTAGTCAGTAATTCTAGTGAAAATAGAATGTTTATTTTGAGAATTGCGAAAATGATTCGAACGACGCAGCCAGGCCTTATGAAATCGATGCGTCCAACATATAAATATCTGTATTCGCCTTTCGAAAGAACGGAAGATTCGCTGGCAGAACGCTATGTATGACAAATGATTGAGACATTTCTTCACGACTGAGCGAGTTGCTCGCGACCAAAAAAAATAAATTCTATATGCAAAACAACACACCACAACAACATCAAGCAGGTCTTTTAATGGTCTTTTGATGAATGACTGTGCGATTGCTTACGCCGAATAATGTTGTATAATAAATATATCTTTGCCACATTTACACCTTGCAGTCATTTGTTTTGGTTTTGCTTCTTCATTGGTTTCGATTTCGCTTTGTTGTCTGTTTTTTTTTTCATTGCTTCATCGCTTTTGGGCTTGCTGTGTGGAGATGTTTTTTTGTTTTATATATATAGATTTCATTTCATTCACATTACAATTCATTTCTCCAATTAAATTTGTGTTCTTTGAAGCAGTTTCAATGCTAGGCATTTTCACTTTCACACTGAAACAATCGCAAATGAGACTTTTACAGAAATCCTAAAGTCGCTCTCAAACCCAAAAACATAAGTAAAAATGTAAATAAAGACAGACCACTCTAAACACACACTTACTGCGTTTATTTATAATTTCGAATTGATTTCACTTGTGCAAAAGACGTCGTTGATTCATATCACTGCTGTAGTTCCTCATATTTCATCGTTTTGTTTTATCGATTTTTTTTCTATATATTCTTTCTCACTCTGTCGCTGTTTCTATTAAATAACACCGTATTGAATGGAGCGAGAAAAAAAAATATTTTTTATGCAAATGCGCGGTCGTTTCTTTTGATTTGGGCTACAATTTTATCATATCGAAATATTTGCACATTCTTATTCAAAATGTTCATTTCATTGGCTATTGTCACGGAATTTTCGATGGTCACTTCATACACAAGTGAATGTAACTGCGAGTAGTTGGTCGTTTTTCTTGTTATGATTGAACATTACGCTCATATGAAGCGTTTTTTGCTTGCTTTTTTTCACTTATGCGCGCACCATTCGATACTTTGCTACTGCTCGTATTCATTGATGAAAATGAACTGGTTACAAACTAGCTGATTTATATGCTATTCACTCTCTTCCGAAGCATTTTTCGCTCAAACGTGTGTGTACACACATCGAGAGAGGGAGAGGGAGAGATCGTGAGAGAGTGACTTATGATTTCATATGTATGTTAAGACAAAAACAAGCACCACACACTCAAGACACACTGCTCAGATATGTCAATTTTAATGCGTATTTACCAATGGTTCAAGTGTATGCAGCGTTTTAACTGTGTGAAGACAGAAACGGCTCTTGTCCCAATGATATTTTCAATCCGTTGAAATACAGTTAGATTCTCACAGGCCTGTAACAGATGGTCGGCATGCGCAACACAGCTCATTCAAGAAAAAGTGCTGACAAGATTTTATTGAAGCAGTTGCTGGGCATCACACACAATGACTGAGCTTATCGCAGAGCTTGTTTGAAGAGAAAAGATTCAAGTAATTAAATGCTTGTTTTGAACTGAATGACAATCACTTATTTAAATCATTTGTTTGAATTTTCAAATTAATCCGATTCATGCCTTTCCATTGAACTATTTCCCAGACAATACGATTTCTAATTTATCGAACCCTGTAACTGTGTCCCAAACCGTTTTGACATTGTGACATACTTTGACAGCGAGAAAATATTTTCATTCAATCGTCATTGATATTCACGACCAATCCATTGTCTGAGTGCATTTCGTTGAATTTACTCGCTAAATTTTTCATTGGACGCAAAAACTTGAATAAAAATCCAAAATGTTGGTCAACAATGTATTGCGCCCCGTTGCAAGCAACCTTTTGAAAGTACCATCACGTTCAACATCGGCTGTTGTTGGTGCACGAAGCCGTCACGTACCCAATTCGGTGAGTATTTTTTCGAAAATTGGAAATATTTTCATTTTCTGCCATCTGATTGGCAACATTTTGGGTTTTTCATCGATAAGAAGTCATTATCATACCGAAATAAACAATTAAAGTGTGCAAATTTGAAAATTTTGTTGAAAAAAATTAATTTATTTCACGATAACAAAGACGAAAAATTATGTAACGCAAAAGAAAAAAATGGACATAACCTCACAAAATCGACTGCTAAAATCAATACAACTGCCACTTTTCTAATACAATGTTTACGTTTCTTTTTCGAATCACAGGAAAAGGCGGTGTTGGTTGCTGGTATGTTTGCCGCCATCCTCTTCACACCATGCTGGATTTTGCTTCACTTGAAGGACTACAAGAAGAAGGACGATTAAACAATTTCTCTCCAAAACAAAAACAATGGAGCGGAGCTTCTTCGTAGAAAAACAAAACTATCTTTAATTAGCAAGTGACAGAGAAAAAAAACAAATTTGTTCAGAAATCATCATTCAATAAATAATGTAAATTGAAAACGCAATGTGTTTTATGTGATGAATTCAATTTACTCCACTCCACTGGGAAATGTTTTGGTCAATGTTTCAGAACGGATTTTTTCTGGAATCCAAACATACTGAGACGACTTTGACTATCGGTCGAATTTGAGCTGCTTGTCGTTTTTGTGCTGCTTGCTGATTTTTTGCGTAGCTTTGCCTTTGGAACCACTTTAGTACCCTGAAAATGAACAGGGAAAAAAAAGAGAAATTTTTACTAGAACGAACTCAAATGCAATGCAATCCCATTCAATTCCCTACCGTTTTTGGTTTTTGACTTCCGTTCAGCCACATTCGGCTTGTTGATCCTTTTTGACTGTTGTCAATGTCGTTTTCATTGTCGCTTAACACTATTGGCAGTTCGTTTGTTTCGCTGAAATCAGTCTTATCGGATGTGTATGTGCTTTGTGAGCTTTGGCACTCCATTGGTTCATCGTCAATCTTCTCCTTCAGAACAAGCCGAAATTTATCGAGAATTGAATATTGGCATTCTCGACTCAAATTGTCCTCCATATCGTCATTGTGTGAGCTTTTCGGTGCAGGTTCATCATTACTTGGTGAAAATCCACTGTCACTGCTTTTACTATAGTACAATGTTGATTTTGGTGAAGCCGTACATGAATCCAACAGATTTGGACTTTTCATCTGAGCAACTGGTGGTGGCACAGCTTCTGCTTGAACTTCTCGTTGCACCGTTTCAGACTTCACAGCGGTTTGCGCATCATTTTCGTCTTTTGGTTTGGAAGATTGTCCAAAGAAACGACTGAGTATAGGTTGTCCCTTCGCTGATAACACGGTTCCGGTTCGAGTAAATCGGCTCAATTTCTCCAGTTTGCTGTAATCGATGTGCTTTACTGGGCTTTGGTTCTTCACCAAAGAATTCGTGTCCCGTGAAATTCTCGTTGGCGACAACAATTCTTTGCATAGCGCTGCCTTTTTAAACGGATTTCGATTCGGAGTTGTTTCTGGTGTCTTGGGTGGCTGCTCATCAGCACCATTCACTTCAATGTCAGCTGTTTTACCGTCGTCATCGTCTTCCTTGAAGCGTTTTGATGATGGTTCGATCATGTATTGCTTCAAAACTAAGTCATCGTTTTGACTTTCGGTCGGTAAATCTTCATCGCTGTCTTCAATCGCTTCAATTACTCTTTTTGGCGGCTTGGGTGACTTTTTCACAATTGCTTTTGGTGCCGTAGAAGGCACAGGTCCATTTGATAATGACGTAAATTGATAGTTTCGATGCCAAATACTTGAATGCTTCGCGATTTTCAGTCCTTTGCTGCTAATGGTTGTTGGCAGTTTCGCCTGTGGAGACAAATTCAATTGAATTTAGAAATTTTTCGAAAAATTCCATGAAAAAGCAATGACAAAACGGAAATGATATTGAAACCTACCCTCTCACGTTGATCCGGATGCCAAATGTCCAATTTTTTCATTGTGAATGGATTGAGGTTGCCAACCGCCAAGTCCAATGCCTTTGCGTCGTCAAGCATTATTTCACCAGCGTTGCAGCAATGCTCTTCATTTGTATCTTCGACTTCATGAAGCTCGTGTAGACGTACTTGTTTCCGCTTCCTTGGATCGAAAACAACCATATGTAAAAATGTAGCGCGTGCCTTCAGCACATTGATTTTGTACTCATCTGTTACAGTCAAGTGTCTCATGTTCAAGTAGGCTGGTATTTTATCGAGACCTCGCATCAAATCAGTCTCTTCGGTTGCCTTAACGAATTTGCATGCTTTTGCCAAACCGATTCCAGGCAGTGATTCCACATAGTCACAGCCCGATAAAATGCACATCAATCGAAATTTTTCCATTGTGAATTTGTCCTCTTTGCAACCCATGGCCAACGCCAACCTATCCGAATCGACCAAAACACAGTTTCCGGTTAAGTCCAACTTGAAGAGAATTTTTCGACATCCAAAAAGTGTCAAGTCGGAATCTTCGGTGATCACATAATCGGCCAGACCGATTTTATTCAAATAGGCGAGCTGAGCGTCGGCTTCGTACGGTGCCACAATGCAATCGACATTTAGAGCTCGACACACTTGAATGAGCTTTAGGGCCATTTCATGAGTTATATCTACACAGCGCCGCAAATAGTTTTGAGCCTCTTTGTGTTGTCCCTTTTTCATCAGCTCAATCGCTCGTTGTTTGGCGATTTTACGAGATCTGATCAGAAAAAAGTGATTCATTTGAGACAAACGTTCATTGGAAAGTAAATTGTTGTACAATTCGTTTTGAAAAACCACTTACTCTCTTCGTTTAGCCTCTGTTTCGGCCTTGGCAGGTAAATGTCTTCCATCAAATACTAAAATCGGTTTGATATTGTGCGACAACAGCAATTGCACATATTTAACACAGTACATGATGTGCCTGAAAGATTGCGGATAATAATCCATGTTAAATTAAATGTCCCATGAATGCTGGTGCAATTTCAAATTTATACTCACACATTGGTGTCTTCACCGCGCACCAATTTATCACCAACGGCAAATGCACCTTTGTGTAACCTAAATCGGATCCAATTCATACATTTTATTAATTTCTCACTTTTTTCACATGCTTTTCTGTGTTTTAAATCTTACCAACAGTACGAATCAATGGCCACGGATTTGCCTTTCAGCGATTTGATGTTGATGTTCTCGCTATAATCATTAAGAAACTTGAGTAAGCCCTGAATTCCCATTGCTCTGCCGAATTTTTTAAGAATTGAACTAAAATATACATAAAAACAACACTTAATTTAAATTAAGAACCAAAAAAACACTAGATAAATGCAATTAAATCACAATCGAATTCATTTCAATCGCAAATCTTTCGTTTGGAGTATTGCAATTGCATGTAAACAGTCTTTTTTTGTTTTGATGTGAATTCAATTGTTTTGGCGGTAAAAGTCAGTCGAACTGTCTAAATTGAATTCAACTCAACTCTTTTCTTAAGTACAAATTTGAGCAATTCACCGAAGCTATGGAATTATGCGTATGAAAGCACATTTTTTGAACAGAAAAATGAATTCGTCGTATTTAAAAAAATTCAATTAGATTTATATCACTTTGACGAAATATTTCAATCCACATTTGTTCATTGATGCTCGAACCCATATCCAATGTTTGCGTTTTTTGCGTCCAAACAATGGTCACGATGCGAGAAAAAAAAGTACGCGTACTTAAGTGAAATATGTCATGGAATTGATGTTTCAGTGGATATGTGTGTCAAAAAAGCCGCATGTGTTTCCAATTGGTTGAGCAAAAATATGAACAATTTGGTCAATACTTTGCGGCCCAGTGAACATTTGCGCACAATTCGACTCAAACATAAAAAGTCCGTTCGAAGGAATCGTGAATGCAAGCATTTTTTTTTTACACTTTAATCTTATCCAAAGATTGAAAAAAATGCATATTTACACCGGTACTAAGAAAATTTATTAAATTTTTAATTCATTTTGCATGTGATTCCATATGCACACTGCTCGCTGGGTGTGTGTGAGTGTGTGTTTTGTATTTGGCATTTTTGAGTACTTACTTAACGCCATTTGACCGAAATGCCGTAAATACCGCTGAACTGAGAACTACAAACAATACACAATTAGTGCGTTCTTGAACACAGATAATGTGCGGCACGTTTTTCATCAGGATACATTATATAAATATGTTATTACAGTAAAAGCGAATTTCGACAGAGTGCAAACGAGTTAAGTGAATCGAGAAAAAAAAAGAACAGAAAACAAAGAAGCGACACATTTCAAATCAATATCGAAAAGTTTATTTACCAAGAGCGAACAGAAGAAAAAAAAATTGCGTTGAAACCGCATTTATCGGTGTGTTTTATTTTGTCATCCATACAAATCATCAACATTACGAAGTGAATCAAAGTGAAGTAAACAACCATAGAGTAAATTTAGCTTTATAGATATAGAATTTGGTTATAGTATTTTCTTTCTGTGTTTTTTCTTTCCTCTTCTTTCTCTGTCGTTAGTTTCATTTCATTTATTCGATATGTTCATGCAAGTTGCGTGTGTGTAAAAAAAATCGTAGTAGTTCTTCATTTAAAAACAACATTTTCATTCGGGGTAAAATTGAAATTAATGGAATTATTGGTTTTTGGTTTAAATGGTTTTTGTTTGCAAATTTTGCTAATTAAATGACAGAAAAAAATGGAAAGATTTCCTTTAGTTCTGTTGTGCATCATTGTTGTTTTCATTTAACCAAAAATTGACTCATATTATTATTTCATCATTCGCAATCCGTACACTCAGAGGTCGTCAATAACAATAACAAAAACAACAACATAAATAGATAGTTTCATTGAAAACATTTGGAAAAAAAAAATAGCCGAATAATCGAAATAATCGTAAGACACATATCGTAAGTTACATAAAATATTGCGGAGAGAATGTGGAGGAAAGGGAAAAAATATAATTGTCCGTATGTCATGAAGGATTTGTGAGTTGTTTTATTCATTGTTTTTTTTTCTTGTTCGGTTCATTTTCTCTTTCGGGTGTGTATAAATGTGGTTATTTGGGGTGTTTGAACATGCGGTGCCGTATTCAATACGCTACGACAAAGAAAGAAATAAGCTTCGTGGTTGTGAGTGTTTGCGTTATGTTTGAGACGAGAAAAGAAATACAAAAATGGTGGAAAAACGGAAAGAAAAACATCGTCGTTGTCGATCGATCACACCATGCATTTTCGATTTTATTGCTTTAAAAGAAACTTTGCGGGAAATACATACATTCTATTTTGCATATGAAGCACAATTTGGCTGGCGCAGTTGCCCTTGTTTGTTATGTGTTGTAGCATAGAAATTTTGTACCTTTTTTTTCGGTGGCTTTGTGTGTGTGTGTGTGTGGTTCGTAATGAATGAGCAACGAATGCTTTGTTGTCATTTTGCCATTTTGTTTACAAATAATATTTCATTTCATTTTATCAATATGACTATGGTTTTTTTTGCATTTAATTAAATCTTTGCGCAATATATCGAGAGAGGGAGAGAGCGAGCGTGAGTGAGTGAATAGGTTGAATTAACGACACTGCATTTTCGAATTAAAATCAGGTTTAGTTTGTTGGTCATCGTTGGCCATGACAAGCGTCTATCAACAACATTTGTATATGTGCTAGAGAATGAATAAAATTCGAGATAGATCATGAACGGGAGGCAAAATATCGAGAATCATGCGTTCAAGCGAAGCGATGAGAGCGAGCTGATTTTATCGATAGCGTTGTTGTTTTCGTGCTTCGATTCGGTTGTATGTCTCGTCTTAAAATGCGTGCATACGATTCGAATCGATGGCGAAGCGGTCGGTTAGTCGGTCGCTCTGATCGGTGGCCATACGCACACTAGATAGTTTCAAATGACAAATCGAAATAAAAATAACGAGAGAACCCATTTTCGAATCGAAATATTTTTAGTTGTGAAAAAAAAACGCATACAACGCAGTAGAGTAAGAGCGAAGTCGCGTGCAAGCGACTGTACACACATTTGCATGCATCAAAGTAAGCGCTCGGCTACAATGTTTCAGACCATTTTGAATGCCAACAAAGTATCCAAGTACCGAACTCTATTGTTGTACTGGTTGTTGTTTTTTTATCGTCGGCGTCGTCATCGTCTTTCTGCTTTCAAACTACTTGTAACGCAACTAACAACAATTTTCAAATGAAACTCGTCGTACAGCAAACACACGGCTGTTTGGCGTTGTAAGGCGAGAATGTTGCGTACGCGCGTGACGATTGTGAGCATGTGTATTGTGTTGGAATTACAATATCTCTCGCTCTCTACTCGGTTTTTATTCGAAGAATCTGTTGAAATGCGAAGAGCTTTCAATCACACCATACCATACCGTACTTGATATATTCTTGGCTTGGGATTATCCAACTCCAAACCGAGTGTGTTTGTGGCCGAAAAAAAAACAGGACAACTCAGCAAATCGTCGCAATCCATGGGCACCAACAAAATTATTGCATTAGTTTATCGCCTCGGTCGGGTAGAGACAGAGAGAGAAAAAGAAAACGCGTCGCCGACATCGGCCGAGAATCTAAGTGTGATTTCATGAAATCGATTTGAAAATGTCTCGTTGAGGCCATCATTCATATATGTATACGTAGAGTATACGCAGAGTAATACTCACTCTCTCTCTAGCTCTCGCCATCGCGTTGTCTTTATTTTGGTTGTTTGTTTAATTTGCAAGCGCAGCAACAACACAGCGACGAAAAAATAGAATAAACTAAACGAGAATGTGAGAATGGTGGCTTGTTATTTTGTCTTTTGGATTGTTTTGATTGTTGTCGGTGACGGCGGCATCAATACGCTCCGTGCAACTAGGCGAACACACATTCTAATCAGCAATTTATTGCCGTTTGAATCAGTACACTGCATATGTATACGGTTGATGTTTATTTTATTTGTTGTTATTCGGTTGTTTTCTTTCTCTCCGTTCTGTGGCACTCTTCTCGCGTGTTCACGTATGACGAGAGTAAACACATGGAAAATTCTCGCGTTCACCATAGACACAAACCCGTTTTATGGCCTGGTGTGTTTGGTGGTTCCGTCGCTGTCGTTTGTACTTTATCGTGTGTATGTGTGTCGACATTCACATGTTTCCATGCGGTGAGCGATTAAGTATCGTACACACTCAGGTAACAAATGGTCGACATGACATTCTTAGCAGAATCACTTTCGGTTTGGGAAACTGAACCCCAAATCTATTGAGTTGTTTGTGGCCAACCAGCAAAACATACTGTTCAAATGTGGTGCAGCTGCAGCCCACTCTCGGCTTGCTTGAGTACGGAGTCGTAGAAAAATTTAATCGTGAGCATGTGCAATAAAATACACATATTCCATGTGTGTACTTTGGAGATGTTGCGCCCGGTGTGTATCTTGTGAATACGTGCGTATATGTGAGCACATCCATACACACAGCCCATTCGGATCAGTTTCGGCTTCCATTCGCACGGGAAGTGTACACACAACAAGCAAAACAAAGCACATGAAATATCAGACCAGCTCTAACCTTTGTTGACATAAAAATAAAACAACAGACACTCTCGCTCACACACACACATTGCACACACAGAGATAAAAAAAAACCGTGTCGGGGCCTCGCGAATACGATGCTACGAACACACGCACACGTACAACCCGTAGAAAAACCGATTGACAAAAAGCAGCCGCAGCAGCAACAGCAACATTTTCGATTTGTTGTGTACAGGCGCTAAACCGATAGGCTGCTGTCTCTTTTTCACCTTTATCGTTGTATGCGCTGTGTACTTCAAGTTTTGTGTGTTGTTTTTTCTTCTTCTTATTAATTTTGTTCATCACGGGTATATGCGTGTATAGTGTTTTCGCAGCGGTGCGATTTTTATTTCTTTCTCGTCTCCAATACCAAAGTGTTTGTTCTCTCTCTCAGTGTGTGCTTTTTGTTGTGCTTGTTTATTTTCAAAAGATTCGCATCGATCATAATTTTTACATTTTGTTCCATAGTTTTGACCAAATTTCTTCCTTCAAACATCGTTTGCCACACAAATTTGCATGTGTTTATTTGTTGTCAACCATTTATTTTTGTTATCGATTCGCAAAAACAAAGAGAAAAATAGCCACCCGAAATACTTGTGATATTATCATTTAGATTTGACTCGTAAAACCTGACACGATTCAACGGATATTGTTATTGAATGCATAAAAGAGAGTGTGTCTGTGTATGTGGTTGAAGAGAAGAAAAAAAAAGAGAAACAGGTACAACAAACGATATGTTCAATTGCACGAAATTGTTCAGAAAAGCATAGCTCAGTTCAATTTTTCTTTCCGTTTCATTTCGTTTTAATTCGATCGGCCAATTATAAACACAAACCAAACAACAACAGCAACAATAATAACGAAAACCAAATTCAACAGCAAAGCGATTCACGAACGAATAAAACAAATTCATTATTATTGCTGCATGCGGCTGCAGTTTTACTAAACAGTGCAAAAGAATTTGATTGATTTGGTGATTTTCCACTTTTCGCTGTGCATTTCAGCAATTCCATTGTATGTATGTTATGCCTACTTGTTCGTTCTTGCTCGTTGACGCGCGCTCTCACTCACTCTCTCACATTTGGTGCTCTTTCCTTAATAAATCTCGTAATCAGACAATTTTGCGGTCGGTGTGTGTATGGATCACATTCATTTTGTGTTTTTATTATTTGCGTAAAGCCCATTCATCGTTCACCTTTTGTTTTTGTTACACACATGCATATATGCGAATGCACAGTCGTTCTAACAACATCTCAACAAACAGATAAACGCCAATAAATGTCGCCTTTGTTTATTCAATTCCAAGATTGTTAATAACACAATGTTTGTAAATATTGCGTGAATCTCTTGCGCGTCGAAAACGGAAAAATCAAATTAAAGCCACACAATTTTGTTGTGTGTTATTTTCTTTCATAGTTTTTTTCTTTTGACAATGATGCAGTCAATTCAATTCTTCTTGTAATTTGTTGTCGTTGTGCTTATGTGTACGGCGCGTAGTTTAACGGGGAAATATATATATATATGTAATTACGTTTTGTTTTCGTTGATGTGTTTTGTTGTGCCCGGCATGCATATTTCAGTGGAAGTTTGCATGATAGAAGGATAAAAACAACACGTATTATCCAAACTGGGTCAATTCTCTTTGTGTATACATACCATTTTTTTCTCTTTATTTTTCCCTTTGGCTTTTGTTTGCATTCGTGTTGATGATTTTTAATGGATTTGTATTTTTCTCTTTCTCTCTCTTTTTCTCATTTCGATTTCTTTTATTTTTTCAGGTGTTACACATACCACGTGAAGGATTAGAAAAAAATATTGATTACACACGGCGCAGAAGGGAGTTCAATACAGAAAAAAAACGACACATTTGTTATCCATCGTTTTTCTTTATATCCTCCATTGTTATTCTTGTCATTTGTGTGTGGTGAGGGAGAGACAGACAGGCACAGAGAGTGAGAAAGAGAGAGAGAAAGCAAGAATCGAAATCAAAGAGAAGTAGGAGGGAGAGCAAAAAAAAAACCAACAACACAAAGCGAGTAATCAAGTGCAGAGTGTCAGTTGCATGTTATGGGCGATTTAAATGTCAATTTTCATTTTCATTCACTGCCTGGCGTGTATAGATTGGTAAATTCGCCGGGAAAAATGTACCCAGCAACGGATGAAACAAATCCAGGCGAATACAAGCAGCCAAACGCCGTCAGTGAATCGGAAAACGGTGCAGCTGTTGTCAAGAATGAGTTGAACGAAGGGACAATTTTTCGAAAAGTAACCACGGCAACAACACATCACGAGAACGGCAACAGGGAACAAAATTTCAAAACGGAGCCCATAGAAACTGATCACCATCAAAATGGCAACGATCAAACATTGATTGCCGATGTGAAGGAGGAAAATGGGGATAGCGGCAAAACGAACGGGAAAAATGGCACCGAACTGCATTACGAGCAAATCAAAGTTGAAGCAAATGGAAATGGCAATGGCAATGGTACCACACCACCGACCATTGGCCACGATGATTTGGCGGCCAAAGAAGAGTTGCTTCGGGCTCAAATCAGCAATGGGCACGTATTTGGACGATTAACCTGCGACAAAAAAGTGTTGTTCATCACCGAGAATGTGGTGAAAATTGGACGCAACTCAAAAGCGTCCACCGTAAATTTCCATGTAGGTGACAACACCTACGTATCCCGCAAGCACATACAAATCATCTACGATCGCAACAATCAAGACTTTTTCATGCTTTGCCTCAGCAAAAACGGAATATTCATCGATAATGAGTTCAATCACAAGAAATCAGTCCCATTGAAATTGCCGCAACGATGTACCTTTCGTTTTCCAAGTACAAATATTTTAGTGAATTTTGAGAGCTATATTGAAAAGAAGGAAAACAACTATGTTGAAAGTGCACTGGTGCCGGCCGACATTGCAAATAACAAGCATCAAACACATCCGAGCGAAGTGTTTCAGGTGCAACAGCAGCAACCACCACAATCAGCACCGAACCAACCGCAGCAGCAAGCCCAGCAACTGCAACAACCACCACCACAACAACAACAACAACAACAACAACAACAACAATTTACTGACAATAAACAATCGGCCGCTTCAGCGCGTGGCCCATTGAAGATAAATATTCCACAGCATGAGAATGAACCACGAAATACGATCCAGTATGGACAACAACCGAACTATCAACGCAAACAGCACAGTCTGCCGTCACCAACGACGACAATCAGTGCGGCAAACAGTTGCCAAACATCTCCAAGACAAGGCGTTCAACCCGAATCATCGATCCCGCAAGCATTTCAAAATGAGAACTTCATTGCGCCGCTTTCATCCCACAATGACACAGAGAAACCGTCATACAGTTATGCTCAGCTCATTGTCCAGGCAATCTCGGCATCGCCCGAAAAGCAACTCACTCTCTCCGGCATTTATGCATTCATTTCGCGTCACTATCCGTACTATCGACTGGAAGCGTCCAAGGGATGGCAAAATTCGATTCGTCACAATTTAAGCTTAAATAAATACTTTATGAAAGTGGCGCGCACACAAGACGAACCGGGCAAAGGATGCTTTTGGCGCATCGACCCGAACAGCGAAAGCAAATTGATCGGTCAAAGCTATAAGATTCGTAAGCATCGGGGCAGCCAAAATACACGGGCTTCCTTTGATATGTCACGTTCAGCTCCTGTGTCGCCAAGTGAAAACCAGCACATGTACGAAACGCAAGATATAATGCTACAATCGGCACCCGAATCACCCGACGGATTCACCACATCGCACGAGGAAATGGTTGTGAATAATTTTGCTAGCGGCGCTGACATGATTTACGTGCGAAACGATATGAACGGCAGCGGACTTGGCACCAAACGATCCTATGACAACATCAACGACTCGAACGGTAGTACTATCGTTTCACACACGGTTCAAGTGAGTGCCGATGACTGTGATGGCTACGATCCATCGGTTAAACGCAAATATGCTGGTGGCATGCAACCGCAAACTCAACAATAAATTAAGGCAATGGCATCAACACCCACCCACACACACACACACACACACACACAAACTCACATCAAATACACACAAACACACTTACGTTATTATTGATCAAATTGAATAATGAAGAGACAGTGGCAAAAATAAAATCCAGAATTTAATCTAGTACCTAAACTGGTAATAAAAATGCAACAAAATTATATCCTTATTGAAATGAACTAGTTAAACGTAGTAACTAACAGCGAAATCAAAAGAGAAAAAAAGAAACACACACATGTTTGGTTCCAATTTTTTTATTTTTCATTGATTTGTTTCTTTCCTTGATACGGAAATCCAACTTTCGATTACATATGATGAATGGCATATGAAAAATAAATCATTGATTTTTTGAATTTTAATATGAATAAAATATTTCGCATTCAATAAATTGTTTTTAGTTGGATGTATTTACTTTCACACCATTTTATTCCATCTCCATCTCTCTCTCTCTTTAAGCAGACAGACTGCAAACCGAAATCAAAGCGAAATTTGCAGATTTCATTTAGTATTTGTACACACATTTTAATTAAAGAAAAAAAAATGTTAGAAATGAAATAGATAAACAATGTGAATCAAATTTAAATTCATTGAACATCATGTTCCAATCAGTGTTTTTCAACGGAACGCCTTCTATAAGAATATAATCAGAATTTCTAAGACGCAAAAAGAAATGAGATAAGCAAAACCACTTTTATAGGATATTTTCAAACAAACAAATCAAAATATGACAACTATACAAGCAATGAACAATAACAACAACAAAGAACCGATATTCAAACAAACAACCGAAACACATTTAATGAACTTATGAACAATAGGAACTTAGAAAATGAGATACAAGCAATTTTTTGTTGCTTTCCTTTGGGGAAAAAATAACATTTTTTTTTTCAAAGGAGCTCGTCATCAACTGTCGATTTCTTTTCCCATTACTACTAAATATCCCATCGAATTGAGGATATGATTCATCATATTTTCAATTTAATGATTGCGTTTGTACTAGTCAAAAGAAGGACAGTTGTTGGCATTTTATATTGCATGGAATATCCGTTTGTGTTATTTTTTCGATTTCTCTTTTTTCTCTCTCTCATAAGATTGCACTAAATCTGAACTCCATCCGAACGACATAGATATACACATACAGTACACAACAAAGTACAATATTTTCAAATGTATTTGATACAAAACATGTTTTTTTCTCTTCATTTAAAAAAAAACAAACAGTAGTATGTAAAAAGAATGATGAAATTATGTAATATTTGAATGAGAATGTAAATTTTTGCTTCAACAGATTGAATCATTCAATGGAAAAATCCATCTTGAAGTAGACAATCTATGGAAAGCTTTTGGAAGAGAACAAGAAATTATACACACACACACACACAGAGAGAGAAAAAAAACCAATTGCCCAAAACAATAATAAGAAAAGGAAGAGAAACAGAAGGAATTCCAAAATTCATTTTATCACCAATATCATTCAGACAAACTATATACATGAGGCAACATTTACACACTCGCACATAAAATCTCTAATTTAAATTAATAAGTATGATGTAAATGCAATTATTTCATTGAATTCGAAACTATCAGTGTTAAAATCTATTACAAAAAAGAAGAAGAGGAAGAGTAAAATAATATATCCTAGGAGCATTTTCGAATGGGAGCACAATCAAAGCAATCTCGACCGATTTTCTCGCTTTGTTTTGTCGCCCCAATTTTCAATGGTGGAACATATTTTTCAGCTCGGTGCATCATAAATTATTTTGGCTTCGTTTATTAAAAAAAAAAAAAATTTGAATCGCATTGCAACTTATTTATGCGTCAAACTGAACAAAAACAATTTTCCAGTTTACATTTACGTGGTTAAACCAAATGATGGATACTTTATTAATTTTAAATTCTGTTAATTAGAATATAGCATCAGGCAAATATCGAAATGCAAGAACAACAAATATCTATATCGAATCGATTGAGTAGTGTGAATGAAAATGAACAAAAAAAAAACACACTCACTCACACACAAACCGATAAGGAAACATATGAAATGGATGTTGCTTGACAAAAAAATAACAATGTTTAGACAATTTTATGGGTTATCATTTTACCAATTTTATGTAGTAAGACAAAAACAATAAATTATGTTTTCTTGTGAATTTGGAAAAAGAAACAACGTGTGATATATCTGTGGTATTTTTGGAACCATTTACAGCTCTGGTTTTGTGATACAATTGATTGTGTTCAAGGTAAGACTAAATCTCTTGCTAAATCCAATTGCTGGTATGGCTCTTTCTGTTACTATGAACTGATTTTTTTCTTTGAAAGGTGAGTATGGTACTACAATCCAATGCATTGTCAGTATTCGATTTGAAATACCTGGAAATACCTCCATTTCCATCTAGGTCAACCGAAGAATTGCTCACATTCTTTTTTCTTTTCATAATAAAAAAAAACAGCTCCACAAAAAATGCTCCAACATTCAATCTATTTTCACAATAATTCGATACTGGTGTGGCAAAATGCATGGACCAACAATGAAACAAGGCAAATGTCACAACAAACCATCCCATTCCAATATTGGATATAAATTTTTGTTCCATTTTCCACCAATTCAATTGAAGCGTTCAAAAATGAGATGGAATAAAAATTGATAGAATTCGATGAATTGAAGTAGAATATAGTTTTGTGCATTTTCCTGAGTAAATGAAGTATCCAGTGATTGAATTTCAGTCATTATTTACAGAGAGACAACTCGTTTTGCTTATTTATTTATTTAATTATTTGCTTAATTTTTTATTCCAGCTTATTTGCGGGAATACTTGTCATCATTTGTTCTGTATTTTTTAGACATGTTTTAGAAGTCAGTTCATTGATTTCATACAATCTTAGAAGCAAGATTCTTTTAAACAAACCTATTTTCAATCCAGACTTTTCTCAATTGACCGAAAAGTTGTCCCATTTTTACCTCTTTCTTCAAAAAGGCACTTTTTTCAATAAAAACCTGAAAGCCTGAAATTCACCTAAAAAAAAATTTAAGAAAAGAAACCTGCAAATAAGAAAAACTCAAATAGAAAATGCGTAAGTATTTTTTAAATGTAATATACTTTTTTATTTATTGATATTTCTATCGTTTTTTTTTTGTTCTTTCTGTAAATTGTTGCTTTTTCAAATGAATAATATGGTTCTTCTTCATTTATATATACAAATTCTAGATACACATAATTTTTGTTGTTGTTGTTTGTCTCACTTTAATTTTGTTTACGTTTTACTTTAAATTTAGTTTCAAATTTGTAAATATATAAATTGTAATTTGTTCGTCGTTTGTGATTTTGTTGATAAAAAATATGTTTTTTTTTTCGTTTCAATTTTCACTATTTGAAATTTGTGTCAATGTGAACTATTTAGTGACCATTTTGATGAGTTAGGGCTTTATTTAAATTTAAGGTTTTATTTTTGTCTAAAATTCGAGCTATTTAGAAAAAAGGAAAAGAAGCGCAACGAATTGTATCATCGATATAATTGTTTCTGCTAAGTTGTCATTGATCATTTTGAATAGTAGATGAAAATTGCCAGTTTGATTTTATTTTTAAGATTTTTTTTTTCTTTATTTTATTGTTGTGAATTGTAAATTTTGACTTGCGCCATTTTTGTTTGTTTGTTTTTCTCTCTTCAAGTGAATTTACAATGAAACTGCTCAATAAGACAATGCTATGTACAAGAAATATGTCTAAATAGTAAAAGTTACATAATTTATGAGTAGCTGTCCCTTATGCATGCACATTTGCACATTGATTAAGTAGTTAGAAGTAAAATGTAAATAAAATATAATATACACAATAGTTGTTTTTTTTGTTTTAATAATAATTTCATTTTTAGTTTAATTCATAGGGTTTTTTACTTGTTTGCTTAATTTCTGGATGCTTCAATTTAACGTTCTAGCAAATAAATTAATTGTGGATTTTTTGTTTCTCTTTACGTTTTATGTGTGTGTATTTTGTATGTCGATTGTTCAGTTATTACTAAAATAATGCGGCACATAGTAAAAAGTGAGCGTGTCTCGGACACACTTCTCAAATATCTCTCTATTCTCTCTCTCTCTCTCTCTCTCTCTCTCGTCTCACATTCAGTACGAAAAGAAACTGGGGAGGAAAAAACTAATTTCTCCTCGATAAAAAAAAATTAAAGCAAATAAATTCGTGTCTCGTAAACATTTGCACAAACAAAAAGTGAGTCGATGTGATGATTCGTTCTAATTTCAAACACTTTTTCCCCCTCATTGTTGATCGGAAGCGTTTTTCTTAACTGTGCAAAGTCTGTTTTCCATAGTGATATCATCACAGACTGTTTCGATCATTTCTCCAAAAGAAAGAGATGCTCGTGATGTTTGTGCATTTGTTTAGCGCTTTTAACTAACATAGGAAAATCGTCGTGGACTTAAAAGCAATTAGTAAACGTTTCAAACATAAAAAACATAAATCGGCAGTGAATTCGAAGTGTTCTGACCCGCTATCGGGAACGAATGGCATTCAGTGACAAGATTTATGTCCAACGTTTAACGAACAAAAAAAATCCCAACTAAAAAAAAATCGATTTAAAACTTAAGACAACGGAAAAAATTTTCTGTCAAAATAAATAACAAGAAATATTTTCTCTTTTTTGCGATTGTAACAAAGAATTTGATTTTTTTTTTTTTTGCAACAAATTTAACAAAATCCGTGGTTTAATATTTAGATCTGTGTGAAATTCGAAACGAGATACATTTTCATGTGGTGAAGGAGAGACTTGAATCTTCATTTGAATTAAATCCCGTTTGAAGAATGTGCGTTCATTATTATTATCTAGTAGAAATAACAACTAAAAGTTTTCTGTTTTGTCGACATCAAATTCGTCCCGAAGAATCGGGGAGATTTCGGGCGAATTGCATTTTGAATAGACACTCATAGCACAGCCATCACAACCTGAGCAGGATTTGTCAATGATTGCTGGCCGTTCGATTCTGTCCGCTTTTGATCTTGGTCAATTGTGTTTGCTTGTGTTAATACTTTTCTTATTCATTTTGTTCATGGAGATCGACAGAATTGCTGGCAGCAACTCGTAAGTGAGTGCCACAGCTCACGGCGAACGGCACACGCTTTAATCATTGACGAAACCGTTTTGGTGAAACGTTGCTTTAGAAGCACCGCTCGAACCGTTAAGATTCGAATTCAATCCACTCGAATTCAAATCAAATTGTTTCGCGACGTTTCTGGTTTAATTATTAGCTGCCGCCAACCATCAGCGCTGTTAGTGAGTCCATTTCGTTTTCGACAATTTTCGTCGGTTCCATGGGAAGTAATTCGGTGAGTTCGGCGCCAAGACCGAGATCCATATCGAAATTATATTCCCAGGTGGATGGTTGGCTTGGCGTGATATTGGTTAGTGATGGTGTGACTGGTGTTAGGCTAGTGAATTGTGGTGTTAGGCTGGCGGTTGTCGTGACCGAAGACGAAGATTGTGAGGAAAGACTCAAACTGGATGACGTCAATGAAGTAATTGTGGTTGTTTCAACATTTGTACTCGTATTTGTCTCGGTATTTGTATTGATCAACGGATCAAGCGCTGATTGTGACGATAGGCTCAGCACATTGCTCCAGTTGATGGGTTTCTCTTCGTCGCCGTAGCCAGAATCCGTATCGGGTAGACTGGTGCCTGGGTATGGGGTGGCTCGACCATTGCAATCGCGCAACGGATGATGATCGTATGGCGGAAGGGTTTCATTGAACGACACTATTGTTGTGACGATCGGTGTTGGTGTTCGATTGTATGGCTGAAGGTAATTATTGCTATTGATATCACTTGTGGTTGAATACGGAGTTTGTTGTTGTTGCTGTTGAATGTGTTGCGTTTGTTGAGATTGTGGCGGCAGCGGTGGCTGTTGCTGCTGCTGTTGCCGCTGTTGCGCTTGTAAAACGCTCATGTTTGATTGTTGTTGCTGCTGCTGCTGCTGCTGCTGCTGCTGCTGTTGCTGCTGTTGCTGTTGCACACTGGGTGAATTGCTGTTGTCGACTGTATTGGTCCACGTTGGATTGCGATTGTTAACGGGCGATGACATTGGTGGCGGTGGCTGCTGCGGATGATGCTGCATTTGTTGGATCATGTCGCCGCACGAGTTATTGTTATTATTATTGTTGCCCAGACGCAATTGAGTATAGTGATGTTGAGCATGGAATTCGGCCTGTTGGTTCGCCGAATCTTTGTTTTCTTGCTCAATTTCGCGATCGATGTACTTTAGCGTATTGCATATCAATACAGAACGGTACAGAGATTGTTCGGAGATCTGTCTAAACCTTGACAGCTTAAACATGGAGAGATTGCGCATTTTTAGTCTTCGTTCTCTGTAGCATTGCTTATTATTATTGCACCACATGCCGCTGCGACCATCACAACACCGTTTCAGATGCCTGCTATCGCCGTTTATATAATTGCTGCTGCCTAGTTCCAGGTACGATTTACCATTTTCAGCGCATCGAATTGTTTGCTGCTCGCTGCCCACTTCAATCGACGGCCCATAATAGTTTGGATGATGTGGATTGTGCTGAGACCATCCGTATGGATGTGGACTCATTGGAAGCGATCGGTTGCCATATTGTGAACCATTGTACGGTGTTCGCGAGCAATTCTGCTGTGGATATGGTTCGGAGTAGTAGTTTGGCTTTTGATAGGCACCACCACCCGACATATAACCATTCCTCGACATATTCGTTGTGCATGGATACCTCAGCGGTGAATAGCATGGTATAATACTGTCATCTTCATCAAAATCATCCTCTTCAAAGTCATCGTCGTCTTCCAAATCGGAACTCAACAGCGTTGTGGCTAGCGTTGAACGCGTACTATCCGAATCTCTCCAAATGGAATTGCCGTCCACGACGTTGCCATCGACAACGTTACCATTGATATTACTGTTTAGTGGCATCACCATTGATGGTAGTGCCATTGCGACGGCTTCCAATTTGGCGATACTCTCTTCAGCACTCGGAATGGCTCCATTGGAAGTGGTGGTCGCCGTTGTTGTGTTTGGTGACGAGGACACGCTCGTCGATTGCAATTGCATGGTTGACCATCGACTTGTCTTAGCTGGTGTGCATTGGTTTCGTATTTCTGCATTTTCGTTGCATGTATTTTCCGTCTTCTGGTGATCATCGACACCGTCTAGGCCTAAAAATTGAGTTTCAAGAGAGAGAGAGAGAAAATAAAATTTTAGAAAAATCTTGAAAAAATCCATTGCCACACACTCGCACAAGATAAGGCATTTCACTTACCGGTTTGGTCGTATTTACGTTTCGTTGATGTCGCCTGTAATCCCATCATGTCAGCTTTCTGCAAATGAACAAGAAAAAAAAAGAAGACACCAACAGTTAAAATGTGAGTAGATAAATGCTCAATCAGTGCGTCAATCTGATATAATTCTTAAGTGAGATTTAGTGCTTGCGATCACATAAATTTTCTCATGTCGTAAATATAGCCGCGATAAATTCATTCATGAAAGTTGAATGAAACAGTTTTGTCTTTCGTTGTTTTTTTTATTTCGTGTGGCTTCGCCGTTGTCGTCGTCGTCACCGATCGGAATTTATTGATATTGTAACGGTATTTTGTGTGCAGACACAAATTAAACACTTGTCGTCACCGCCATTTATGTGTGCCATGACAATGGCTTGAAAATCTGTACGAGCCAGACATTCTTTTGAAAATGAACTGAGAAAAAAAAACAACAACAACAGCACATAGCCAGCAGACGAAGCACCACCGTGAGACAAAAACACATGTACACAACTTGAGCAAATAAGCGAGGAAAAAAAGATGAAAAAAAAAATGTAGGTATCAATAATGTCTTATGGTGACACATAAATAAAAATGCATATCAACTCCTAAGCGCTCCGAATAAATTTGCAATAAATATTGCGGCTACCGATCATCAAGCGATTTAAAATGGTCTTGCACCTTTGCTTATATTGGCTATTGTTCTTTTCGCGATGTTGCTAGTTTGTTTTCTCGCTCGCTCCTCATTTTTCGGTCGATCTTTTGCCATGTGTGTCTGTTTTGTAAACACTAAACGTACTAAATGGGAATCGTTGAAACAAAAATAATCATATTATCGCGACCGTAAATCTTTTTACAGTTAAATGAGCGATCCGACGATGGGTACGAACAGCGAAAAAAAAGCAATCATAAATTATCGAATGGGCGATAAGTTAATGAATGATTTTTATTGAATGAAAATCTGTTTGATTTCTTGACCATTTTGGCAGGTTAAGTGTTATGGCTTTGTTTTTTTTTCTTCGCTTCTCTCCATCTTCACTCAATATTTATGAATGTGCCTCCAATAATAATCAATCTTTCATCACTTCAGTTTTGAATTATGATGGTCGAAGTCGATGAATATGCATGAAATAAATTGAATGATCTAAATTATATGGTAATGATTGTGTGTGCTGTTGCCGGCACGTTCCTTTTCATTTCTTAAACGGTTTTGCCTTCTTTGGACATTTTTTTACTTCCACTTTTCTTTGCGCTTTGTTTGCATTTATCATCATCATCATCATCATCAGAAATGTTTGTGTGCTTTTTTTTTATTGATCTCTCTGTTCTCATTGAAATGCAACGAAAGAAAAAAAATCCATTTATTCCGGAAGGTCATACAAGCGTTCTTTTTTTTATTATTGAAGAATTGATTGCATTTTTGAGCAAAATAATTGACCAAACTGTGATTCTCACAATGTTTTCCAAGAATTGTAATCCGTAATTGTGAGTACTTGTTAGAATAAACGCATTGCATCTTCGATACAGGTTTATGCACTTGTTCATCTATCGCGCAACTCGACAATATCCTAGAAATTTAACTCGAAACTCATGCGCTAATCAATGCTCAACTCTCCTACGAAACAAACGAAGATGAAAAACAACGACAACGAGAGCGAGAGAGAGAGAGAGAGAGAGAGAGAAATGCCAAGTTTTCCAGTGTCGTTCGAACGATCGCACACTCTTAAAAACGGTTCGACGAATGGCAAGATATAGAGAAAAAGCGAATTATTACGTTTGTCATTGTTTTTATTTTGTATTTTGCTTGGTCTTTTATTTTCGTTGTCGTTTCTGCGCTGTTGCTGTTACTGCTGTTGTTGTGGTTGGAAACGGCCTGGCATATAGCATCGGCCATCAGCCAACAACGATTCTCGTCATTATGTGCTGTTGTTTTGCCGTATTCTTGTTCATATTTCATTGCCATTGCATTCCATAGAAACACAGACATCATCAGAAAAATCAAGCAAACGAAATAAAACCGAATCGAGTCGTGGACGGGAATAAAAACGATTAAGCAAAAAGCAACAGAAAAATAAAAACCAAGCAAAAAATAACAACGAACGAATGAACAGAAAAAAAAAACGAATAAAGAAGATGGAAAAAACGCAAAGCGCGACTCAGAGAGAGATACCCAGAAAAAGAAAATGCAAGAGACTTTTATGCGAAATTCGCGTATGTGTGAAACGTGTAAGCAATGTGCATAACTCTATAAATATCTATATGTGTATACACATAAAATGTGTACGGTCGTCGGTTCGTTTCGTTGAGTAGCTCATCTGTGCGGCATATAAAGATTTTTATTTGCCATTCGTACTTATTTTGCGCAAGTTGAGAGCCGAACTGTTCGATGTCTTTTCTGTATCTCAACCGAAGAGAACGAAAAAAAAGAGAAGAGGACGACGACGACGACGACGACAGCGACGATATAAGAGCTGCAATGATAAATGTTGGAATAAATGCAGACAGCAAAGCGCATCATGCACATTTCATGGCTGAAGCACGGAGTACGATGGAAGTTGTTGTTGTCATCGTCGACGACGACGACGGATATAAAAACAAGCGAAAATGTTTTTATGCTTAGCAACAGAGAAAAAAGCGAACCGTCCGAGATGATCCTGTATGTACGTATGAAGCACGGTATGAAAATGAAATAATCAGCCTGATCACATCGAGCAACGCGACACATACAAAAGAGATGAGACAGAGAGAAGAAGAAACGAATTAAGGATCCGTTTCTCTCTCTGTTGCCGGTTTTAGCGTCATAAAACTGTTGCTCGTTTGTAATTGCAATAAAACACAGAAAAACGTTCGAATATTAAATTCGAAACAAACAAAGGTACAAATGAACTAATATCTAGGCAAGAGTAAGCGCGCGCGCGCGCTCACACACCTACCCGCTTGCGATTGCGATAATAGTAATGAACGTTATAGCGATATATAGGCCTGAATTGTGTGTGATAAAAAAAGGTGATAAACGTACCGATGAAACCGCATGGCCAATAAGCGAGCCAACAATGAGTAAAGTTTCATTTTTGCGCGTGTATACACGCTGACGTTGTGCTTTTATTATCTACATTATTATTATTTCTTTCTTTCGTTGTTCGATGCATGACGCATAAATTTGCGTGGTTCGGGCTACTTCAGTGCGCACCTTCAAGCGACTGAAACAAACGCAATTACGCAGATTCTTGTACACCGGATCGCATTCTCGTGTGTGTTCATTTACGAAATTCGCCCAACAAGACACTTGTTTGCGTTCGTCTATCGGCTACTTGTCATGCATGCGTTTGCTTTTTCATTTTATTTTATTCACGCATAACGATTTTTATCGCTGAAAATGTTATGTTTACAATCAAAAGGATCTTTTTCACATGAGATTTTTTTTGTCTGTTGACCGATGAACCTTCGGTTTAGAATGGGATGGCTTTTCGAAACACCACATTTCACATTTGATCACAAACGACAACAAAAAAAATAGTGTGTGTGGCATTTAAGCAATACAACACCATCAACACAGTGTCTCAATGTCGTTGAGGATACCGAAATTCAATTGTTTGCATTTCACACCGTCGACTGCGAACGGTGTTCAAGCGTTCACCGTGTCAACCCAGTCAGGTTTCTCGCTCACTGTTCACGTGTGCCGTTTCTGTAGCAATTTGTTGACATTTTCTATTTGGATACAAAAATTTTGTATCGCATACAATTTTCGAAGGTTTTCGAATGAATATGAATGTCGGTTGCTGACGCTTTGTTTCGCTTTGATGTGTGTTTTTTCCCTTCATTTCAGACAAAAAATCGAGTCAATCGTTTGCCATACACAGCTAAACCGAATGCGATTGTATAAGCGATGGTGTTTTTTTCCTATCTCTCTCTTTCTGCGCAAAACACCAACAGTTAAGCGAGCAAGCGAGTGAACGAGCTCATTTGTGTCTGTATTTGCTGCGCTCATTTGGTTTTTTGATTGATAAAACACACAACAACGAAATCTACGGTGCGCGAATAAGTGAGGCAAGAGTGTGGCTTTGCTCGCAACAACAAATAACAGCGAAAAAAATTCATTCGCTTTTTTTTCTGAAGTACATTAGCAGCGATTTTTCGTAGACCAACAACAGAGAAGAAGAAGAAAAAACACACACACATACACGCACACTCAAAATCGTAAACACACGGGCCGAAAGAGAGCGGTAGAGCGTCAACAAAATTCACCTGAAAGAGTTCGTGCGATCGAATGCGAATATTTTTACTCCGTAAAATTAAACTTACGTTCGCTTGGCCTTCGTCACGGAGAGCTGCTGAAATAGCGTGTATAAACAGCTCGCTCTACTCGTAACAATATGCCAAGAACAACATACAACACACAAAAATATAAAATCGCGTAACACAAATTGTGTGTTGCTTCAAATTGAACGAAAGAAAAAAAAAACAAAATCTTTTTTTTTTCTGTTTCGTTACTTTGTGTGGTTGTGTCAAAAAGTCGATGTCAGACACTATTCCAGCTCGCAACAAAAAATTGCGTTTTAATGACGTGAAAAGCGATGCGCAACACACATTAAATGAAAAACACAAACCAAAAACAGGTGAATGGAAGGAAAGTGACGATCGTGCAATTTTTTCGTGCGAAACAAAATGACCAAACTCCTATGTTCCATCGGCAATCGGGTTCGCCTTGGCCGAAACAAAGATTGCATGCTTAAAATTGTCATTCCGTCAAGAAAAAAAAAAGAAGAGAACAATCACAGTTGTCCAGTTGACGAGAGAAGTTTTCACATTTTCGTGCGCAAACCAAAATATGGTTCGTTACGTTGAATGAGCAAAAAGCAGCCGACGTGATCATAAGTGGCAAGCGCCAAAGCCCAAATAAAGATCGACCGAGTAATTTACACGAAATAAAAAAAATACGCATGGAGAGAACAGCTGAAAAAAAAGTAGCAACAACGAGCAATAGCAACACAAGACACGGTACAATAAACTCTTAATGGAGGAGCAAAAAGGGAATAGTTTGAAAAAAGCGACTTAGACGA